AAATGGAAGCCATTTGTTCTGCGTGAGGGTTTCAAGCTTATAAATCAAGCTTATATACTTAATTACTGAGAGTTTTTCCATTACTTTCATGTTTTTGTTGTTGACAGTCCTTTAATATGAGCATAGTAAAACAAGCGAGTAAGGGAGAGAGACGACAGCCAAACCTAAAGTGACTAAGCCAACCTCAACGCTTCATTTCAATACAGACAGCCAATTTCTTGGCCAAAAAGGTCCATTGTCTACTGTGAATAGTATAGCGATGTATGAAGCTCAGCTCACATAGAAGTCGTTTTCAAATCAAGCATCTTTCTGTTGGTCAATGCAGTGAATTTACATGGCCAACTTGAACCCGTTGCAAAAATCCTGAATGTGTGGATTCCTATTAAAATAACTACATTTCACTTCATGAAAATTTGCTGAACAAAGGTAAATGTGACAGCACCTTAATTCAAACACCTCCGAAACACGTCATTGTACAGAACTTCCTTATAAGCGATTAGTCAACTCGTTTTCTTTAGACAACCTACTGAGTAGTAAATTCAAAAAATAAACATATATGAGCTTTTGACATGATGTCATGCTTTTGCTGGTATCATTACTGTATGTGCAGCGCATGTGCTACGTGCTACTGCTGCTGACACTGTTTTGTTGCTGATAGGCCTTATCACACCTTCAATTCACACCACAAGGGGCACAAATGGAAATGACAGTGTGTGCGAGAGAGAGAGAGAGTGTCTTACAGAAGGGACTGCCAAAGCTGAGCCAGTTAGACTGGACCATCTAGTGCAGAAAAGCAATGCCGCAAACATACTGTAGTCTCCACTTCCCCTCATAAACTGTGAGCCATGTGTATCTGAATGTGCAGATATGCTCATTTTCCCTCAGGGAGATCCTCTGGCTGCTGGATTACCCGTCACACTTAATTAGCACTTGCCTTGAGATTAAACAAACTCATACCTCAGATGCCTTTAGGGGGAAAAATGCACCTTTCAGTATCTGCAGTACCTCATAATCCAGATTACCAGTCAAACTGCCTTCATTAGAGCAGGCGTCAGGCTGGTGGCTCAATGGAGGATCTTAGATCAAATAATATTAAGTGGCCTCTGTCTGTATATCCCTGTGGTATTCCCCGCACCTCCTAATCCCTGTCTTAACTGTAATCTGTTGTTGAGCTCAGCCTGTCTGCTGGAGGAACTGTTGCCAGCCAGCCTCCATGGGTCTGAGCTATCACTGTCAAACCACAAATTTAATCAAACTAAATGGTTCACAAACTCAGAGCCATCAATCTGATCTCTCTGTCCCACTGGAAGCTGTGTTGGAGACAGAAAGAGACCGATATAGATAGTGGACAAACATAATGGGCCAACAGGGATGGAAAAAAGTGGGCAAATCGGCTCCAATGTTGCAGAAATGCACCTCGGGCTGAACATAGAGAAGGATAAAGTCATTCCCATGGCTTTGACTAGGCAGATATGAGTTATAGTAGATAGCCAAGTCACCGAAAATACACAACATGAGTCTATAGTAACTATATTACACTCAAACCTACTCACTTATCCATAGTACACCCAAACACCCTGTGTCAGGTGATAAGCAGAAGTTAATTTTTCCCCAAGATTCAGCACACATTCAAATACTAGCATGGTTTTCTTCCTCTATGCTTCATTCTGTTGTGCGGTTCCTCATGAGGGATTGGTTGTCTCTCCTCTACTATAAAAACTGCACACCCACTAGTTTGGTTTAGGTGGAGAAAATAGCCAAATTAGAGCTTTGCCGTTCCCTTTCACACACACAAATATCAATCAATTAAACACAAGACCGACAAGGCTAAAATGACACAAACTGCTTTTTCCCTTTTTTTGAGAATTAACATTTGGTTCTGGCTAACAGTGATGAGAGACTTTGGTTGATGCTAAAAGATTCCAAGACAACCACAGCCTAGAACGGCTTATAAAAAGTGAAATTGGCAGTAAATGAATATGACTTAAACATCAAGAAAACTCAAATTAAGTGTTTTCACGGTGACAGTATTTATTAGACCCAATTGCAGTCATTGGAACTGCATTAATTATATTTTAAAGACACTGATTGAGAATGTAATGCAAAGTTGTTTGGTGTTACAAGCAACGACTGCATGCACATTTTATTTTATTTTGTTTTGTTTGTGTGTGAGTTCATATGTGCAACTTAAAGTGCACCGCTGCACTAAAACTTAAGTGGACACAATTCAATTTACCATTTCTTACTACATCTCTGCAAATTTGGAAACATCACACTTTATGAATTACTTCTAGCTGATGGCTTAACCACTCTTTTAGCCTTAAAGAAATAGTTCAAACAAAGAGCTGTCACCTTTAATCACTCTAATATCATTCCAAATGTTTATGACTTTCTATTTTTAGTTATTTTAAAAGTCCAAACAGCACTGACCTCCACTGACTTTCAATGTATGAAAAAAAACACCATCTTTTGCATTATACGTAAGAAATAAAGAGTCATACAAAATGTTTGTTGTGGGATGAACTATCCCTTTAATGTACCCTCAGACACACAACCCCACAAACAAGCCACTGCTGAAAGTCATTAATACGATGACTGTGTCAGTCTGACTGCAGGACAAATGACTGAACAACCACTTCTGTCTCAGCTGCCATGTGGATCATTCTCTTGCTCTCTCTCTCATACTAAAGAGTGGTCATCACCACTGCAGGATGGCTGCGTCAGCTCTACCCTCTTTACCCAAGAAGGGGGCTTCACCCTCGCATCACATGCTTGATCAGTCAGGAACTGAGGTGTAAAAGAGATGCTAAACTCAACAACATGCAGTTTGCTGCTGCAGCATTCACAGACAAACACATACACTTATACACAACTCCTCTCTTGAGAACTGACTAATTTGCTGCAATCTCCCTGCAGTCATCATCTCACACATATACATTCTCCATTTCATTCTCTTCATTCATCGAAACTGTTCAGATGTTACTGTTTAAAAGCCAAGCAATTGATTAACTGTAGATGTTTCACATGAGCAGTTGCACAACATGATAAAGGATCTTCTTTTTCATGGACAAATGTGTGTATCTGTTACGTCACTTGAGTAAAAATGGGTGGAATTTAGCTTACATTGATGCTTTTATCTATGAAAGTGGATGATAAATTTGTCTTTTCAGGAAAAGGTGTTGATTTTAGAGATGGCGAGATTAGATGAGATTTATATATCCCACGTAAACACATCTTTTTCATAATGTTATCACAGCTCGCTTGACTTATGTAATGCTGCTGAACCCTGTAGTACAGGCTACAATCCAGCGCTACAAAACGTTGCCTTTGCTCATTTTCTTCTTTCAACTCCTCACAATTTTCACTCCATGTTTCGCTCCAATTATTGACTGACATCTTAAATTGTTCGCGTGCGTGATGCAACACGCGACCATCTGGCAAAGTAACGCATCTTTGCATGCGTTTAAAAGGATGAGAGAATACTTTGCCAGAGCGAGTCCTGCATTATTATCTTTCGATGCATCCCGGGTTTTGCTGAATAACTACAGCCCCCCATAACAATAACATACATGCTGCAGCGGCGCGCCATTCAAGCATCTCGCGCTGTCAAAAGTGTGTGTGAAGCGCGCAAGAGGGAACACGCAGTTCAGCGCGCAAAGAACAGGCCCTGCGAACATTACCATTTAATTTATGCAATCGTCATAATGTGAAAATATCGTTTTTTCTTTTACCAATTCATAATTTGTGTAGTTTAGTAAAAAAATATATATATTTTCAAGTATACAGTATGTTAATTAAAATAACATTACCAATGTTTAATTTACAAGCTCTAGCAAATAATTGCATATCAAATGCTTGCTTTGTATTTCTCAGTATTTCAATTTATGAAATCTACAATGTGATTAATTTAGTCAAGAAACACACACACGAAAGTTATGGCAAATCCCTAAATCCCCAAAATCCCTAGCTAATTGCGCACTCTTGCTTTGTTCCAAAACTCTAATCATTAGTTATTCATGAAAATTACCCCTATCAGAGTGGGCTGGAGCAAATGTCAGCTGACATGTCGTCTCAGATCACCGAGTACTATAGGCTACCCATTCAATAAACGCATTAATCCGCACTTTTTGAGGGATGCTAAATTTGACACAACATAAAAACTAGTAGGCTAGATTAAATCTGTTCTAGTTTCTATGGAAACATGTCAGACCGCGGCTGCGCTCTGCCTTTATTCCTGAATAACTTCATTCTTGATACCAGGGGCATCTTGTGTTGTAGCGCTACTGAGGTTACTATTTATAAAACTGTGGATATAAGACGTGTCCCTCGAGAAGTTTGCTTTAAATTAGTGGACTGTAATGTCCTCGGGTATATCACTACTGCTTTACAGAGATCAGTGTATGTACGTCTGAACGTAGTCGATTATGGTTGGACACAATGTCCATTACTTTCACATTCATTAGATGAGTTGATAAATACCTTACGTTATTTTGAGTCGCATTATATATTGACATTACTAAGGAACCTAATGCGTAATTATTGTGTGGAATTGCTCTATGTGCACATTGTCAATAGTAATTGATTATAGCAGCCTTTGTGTAACGTGGATACTGATTTGGGGGGAAAAAAGCTCATAATAGACATAACATTATACATGGGACCACTTGTTATGAGGATTTGGATTTTCACTCATTTTGGCAGGCAAGATTCAATTGATCTCACAATAATAATCAATAGCTTGTTAGTACAACGGGGTTAGCTCTCAATCCGGATGGTTTGATTAAATCACACAGAATAAGACCGACCTTAACCCGCTCAATGAAACTCAGCACGTGTGCAGCGAGATAGGCAAATGATCACTTGATTTATGTTGATGTTTAAATTGTGATTTTCACGATCAGTGTTTTGAACTGAAACCTCTCTGTAAGTGAAACATTAAACAATACAAATGATGACTAGAGCGATTTTCGCTCTCCTGGCCCAGAACATGCTGGTCTTACCTGCTACGGTGTATCTGTCCATGTAATTGAGCACATTTCCAAAACTCAGAATCCCGGCGGCTACGAACGGAGACCGGCATCGGAGTAATGCGGCACGGAATTTCTGCCCAGGATTGCAGGGATGCAGGTCTGGACTGGAATTAAGAGCCGGACTCATGCTTCCAGACAGCGTGTGCACCTCATCCGAACTGCTGCACCCCTCGATTTCACATCCATCGCTCTCCACGCACATCTTCTGGCACGACAGATCCAGCGCAAACGATTGAACGATTTCTGAACGGAGACAGGACGGTCTGGACGGAAAAGTGTAGCACCTCTGAGCGAAAAAGAAAAACTTAGTGTTAATCGCGAAGAATACAAATCATTGATTTGATTATTGCTCGCTGAGCTCGGTTCATGTCTGTACAGTGACAGGACTGAGCGCTCGGGAAGCGCGTTTCTCTCACTCTGTAGTGTGTTGTATGAGGGAGGCGTGGTTGCGCGTTAAGTCCCGCCCCTCCCTCCTAAGGCTCTACAGTGTGCTCGGAATGCTGCTCAAGTCAAAGAAGGGAATGTCACCTCAACGACATTCAGCAGTGACAGAGCGCACCCAGGGCGCCTCGTGCTGGGTCGTGCAAAGTTGCTTTGTCTCTTTTGGTTTCTCTTTTTTCTGGCGTAAAAGATTAATCGAGTGTGATCAATACACCTTTTCAATGAAGGTGTAAAGGAACAGAAAGCGCGTGAGCCGTGTGGAAACATACGCTTGGAAGCAGTTCATGGTCATTGTTTTGTAGACTCGAGACTGGGTGCGAATTAGGCTGTGGGCTGACCCTCCCTTCTAAGCTTTAAGCCCTCCCAAAGGAGGGCTAAACAAATATTGAAGAGTACACAAAATAGGTTTAATTCTATAATTGTAAATAAATACATTTAAGCAACTCTCACATTTTCACCTGTCGCCAAATAGAGAAATGTTGTTCGCCCGAGGATGGTAACCATAGCAACAGAACGCCGCTAGAGGACTTTCGTTAGGATCAGTATTAAAAGATACGTATCGGCCAAATTAAATAATAATAATTTTATTGTAGATTGACAAATAACACGTTTAGCACGTGAGATGTATATTTCGCGATATTCTATACATCAAATAATTATAGTAGCATATACGCGTCGGTGTCTTAAATATATGAAAATGAGAAAAGTGATTCTGACATTAATGATATGAAACTATTCATATGACTCCATTAAAGACTGAAAATGTAGGCTAGCTACCTGGTGAGTACACGTGAAATTGCCTCTTTAAATATGTTCGCAATTCAAAACTTTCTGAAATTCCCGTTTATGAGTGCGTTGAAGTTACTTCTGTCAAATCCCACAGTGTTTGATTACACTTTGCTTCAAAGTACTTGGGATACAATCTTTTAGTAATTCGTGGGAAAGAGTTTGCGTGGTTTAACGCTGTACTTAAATAGCAAGACGAAGTCGAAAAGCGATCCGTGGTCTTCAGCACTCTGGACAGCTCATTGTCACTATCTGCAGCCACACTAACAGAATAAACAGTTTCACCTCAGCAGCAGTACAGTGACTTATTACACTCACTGCATCTACTGATTAATATTGTGCTCATTATTTACTGGGAAACATTAATCTGACATTACAATTTGTGGTGGGGTAATATTTGATTAAGGTAAACATGCGGATACTGTTAATCGTTTTATTTACTTCCTTCATATGTGTTGGATTAATTAATTAAGGATTATTGATCACTTTTTGGCTCCTCTTATTGTCCGCTTTTCACCGAAACCCATCAATTAGCAAAGATTAGATCAAATTAAGTGCATCTTAGCTTTCCCCTCTTTTTGTTCATGCGATAATCACTAGTTTTTGACAGCGAGAAATTCGTAACACATTGTGAAACTCTGGAGGACAGACAGACAGTCTAACCCCTGTTATAATGGCCATCTTTCAAATAAACGGTTTCCACAAGACTTTGAATATCCTTTTGGAAATGTGAAAAGTGAGGAGGATTTTACTGTAGTTAAGATTTATCTCGAGTGCAGAAAAGTCTTTTAGGAAGTGCGCGGGTCATCCTCATGAGAGAAGGCTGAAAGATGCGAGACAAATTATTGTCGGAAAAGAGGGAAGTTATTCGTTTGTTATTGTTCCCTTCATCTTAATTCCCAGAGGGTATGCTACAGTACTCGTCAGAACAAATCAATCTAAACGGGATCATAAGTAGCTTAATATGATGCTTATTCTGCTCTGCCACTTGAGTGCTTTTCAACTGGTCTTAATACTTTAACAGAATTAGACAGTAAGGTAAGAAAACGTTTTTAAAAGACTTGCTATGATTAATTCATTCCTATAAAATGATTTTCAGTGACTTAGACGTGTTCATAGAGCTTTAAAAAAATATATGGCTTTTCTGAGCTGAATTAATCTAAATAATTATTAAAGTAAATATATCCACTCTCAGAAAAAAAGGTACAGAGCTAATATGTACACTTTAGGTACCAATATGTACTTTTAAAGTACTAATATGTACCTTTAAGGCACTACAATTTACCATTATGGGGTAAATACGGTACAAAGATGCTCTTAGCTTTTGTATCTTAGGGTAATCGCCAGTGGCAGCTTTACCGTTTTTTCTTAAAAGTGGTGATGACTGTATCAAGAAAATTGGCATAATTGTATCAACTGCTGCCTATATAAAAGTTCTGTTCACATTTACATGGTTTTAGACTAATCAAACTGATCAAATTTTAACACCACAACATAACAAAATGTGTCAACAAAATCAAAAGCAACAGAAAAATAAATAAAACTACCAAAAGCTGGAATGATTTGAGCATAATTATTCATGTCCACAGACACACAAACATTTTTTTCAGTGATACTTCCGTGAAATGTTTGTGATAATGCAGGGTCAGTATTCAGTACACTGCCTACAGTTTAAAATACCTTGTGGTCTTCAGTAACCTTCATGAGTGATCTGCATGCCAGCAAATTCCACATCCTATTTACTGGTCACAGGCTGTGCAATAAGGAACCAAGCGTCTTTATCTGTCTCCTGCTGTATATCAGCAGCTTTTTAGCAAAGGCTGGATCACAGATAACCAAAACAAACCAAGTACCTAAAGTTACCTTTGTCATCAACAAATCCTGAATTCCTTCTGGTTGGCTTGGTTTTGCACTGCATAGGCTATCAGTATCAGTATATGTATGCCTAAACTGATAAATAAAAGAAACACACACTCAGAGTAATTTGTGTAGATATGTGCATTTGTATTCTGTTTTTGTGGTTCATATCATTTACTATCACTAAAGGAAGCCTCCGTAACTCCTGTCCCTTAAATAATGACATGATAAGCTCTATGAGACGGAAGGGAAAAGGGGCCAGTCCTGATTGACTTCCACAATATCATTTATCTTCCTTTCCATTCCTCACTGTTAAGCAGCTGAACTTCTGACTCATGGATCAAAGTACAAAGAAAAGTGAGCGTGTTTGAAGACATTTTAAAAACATGTTTAAATAATGCACTAAATATCACTAAATTAAAGATGAAAAAAGCAAGCTGTTGAATACTGATTTCATCAAAACCAGAGACAAACAAAAGTCTTGTTAGGCGGACTTTTGAAAGTAATGAACCCATGTTTTTTCTAGTTTTTACATAGTATGTTTGAGGACAGAATGAGTATCAGTCTTGTCAGACTGTGGAGATCACACTTCAGTTATTTAGTTTGAATTTCCATTACACAGGAACAAACAGAACATGCTTGATAGCAGCTGCTGCATGCAATGGTATGATCAACTACACTCTTAAAAATAAAGGTGCTTCACGATGCCATAGAAGAACCTTTTTGTCTAAATGGTTCCATAAAGAACCTTTAACATCTGAAGAACCTTTCTGTTTCACAAAAGGTTCTTTGGGGCGAAAGAATGTTCTTCAGATTATAAAAAGGTAAGAAAGAGATGGTTCTTTAAAGAACCTTTGACTGAATGGTTCGTTGTGGAACCAAAAAATGGTTCTTCTATGGCATCGCTGTGAAGAACCTTTTGAAGCACCTTTATTTTTAAGAGTGTATACAGAGGGAGAAAGACAAAAAAGAGAGAGGGCAACAACTGATTATGGAGTAGAATAGACTATTAAGCAAGAGCACTTAAGAGTGATACATAAAATAACAGTGTGTTGGCAAGCAGTCAGAAAGTAAAAATAAAAAAATGAAAATAGAGAGAACATGGAGGCATGGGGACATGGAGAAAGAGGAGGACACTGAGAGAGTGGGACTAAGAGAGACAGATGGAGAAGTGTTATGACCTGCTGGTCTATGCTATAGGAAAACTGTTAGAAACCAAGCAAGGAGGACAGATTGAGAAGATGTGGGGAGAGAGAGGTGAGGTTAAAACAATAGTTTTAAATAATGTACAAGAATGAACTCCACTCACTGTGTAAATGTAACCCCCCTAAACAAACAGTGTTGAATAAAGATCCCTTGTGTAACTGTAACAAAGCTTTTTGTCTGTATTTGAATGTTGAAATTTGATTATAAAAAGCACTGGCATTCATCAAATGTTTTAAATGTTTACTCTTCAAAAAAAATCTCCTTTTCAGAGAATTACGCATCTGTCCACTGTACAGGACACCATGCATTTAGGGTAGTAATGTAAGGCAATGGTCATTTAAATAGTGGGTAAACAAAAAATATGAATTTTTTTTAAACAGTAAATTGATATAATTGTTACAAATTTATAAAACAACATATATACAAAATTCAGAACTGAAATAAAGATTACAGGTGCACAGCCAGCTTCCTATCTCCACACTAAATGGAATTATATTGCCCAAATAAACACATATGGTCACCAGTTTATTTCTGTCAATTAAATGCAAACTACAACAAATACGTAGAAAATTCTTAATAAAAGAGCTTTTTGTCTGTCTGGGTGTCCTGGAACAAAAAATAGCAATGCTTTGCCTGATTTCATTCTGATTTTGTGTTGATTTTATGTTGTCATAAAAAAATGACAATGACAGATAAAGCCAGCCATACGAAATTATGGCTTTCAAAATGGGTTTTAAAGAACCATTTATAGCATACTGAAGACTTGGCTTGGCTTATGGCTTATGTCTCAGAAGGTTAATATGAGGCCCAGAATATTCCAATCAAATTATTATTTTATGGTTGTATCAATATGTTAAATGTGATATGCTCCTCACAGCAACCATCACAAAATTGCAAAATGGCACAAAGCCAGATTGTGGTTTTGATGGTGTATATCTACATCTGCCAGAACCCCAAAATGCTATGTGTCATTGTACAGGAAGTGTATACAATCAAACCTCCCCAAGTTTAGGTTCTGATACTGGTGTTTTCTCCGCCTGCACAAAAGCATTTCGATTTCACAGTATAGCAGCAATGACATTATTATTAATAGTAGTAAAAAAAAAGCTGTAGTTGAGAACTTAAAGCAGTAAAGTAGAACTAAAGTCTCCCAAAATCATAAAAATGGTCAAAAAAGGGCCTCTGATCATTTATAATGTCAAAATGAAAAAAGGAAAAAGTTTAACTTGTGAAGTATTATTATAAGTATTTGTATAAGGTTTAAATTAGCCTCAAAGGAAATGAGCTAAATGTTCTCCCCATTAAGTTAAATTGTACAGTTACTGCTGTGAGAAGATAAATGGACCCCTGACAGCAATTTATACCACTCAACCTCATGTTTCATTTTTTCAAGCAGAGATTTGGCCTTTAGTAGATCAGTCATTTAAGGGATAAGGTCAGAGCAGATTTTTTTAATCCACTTTATTTAAAAACACTGTATTTTTAACTGGGAATGGATGAAAGTTAATAGTTAGTACTCGTCTGCAGCACTTGGTTGAGTTGTGCAAAGCTCTGGTTGATAATACTTGTTGGTGACTGTAGCCATGGCGAGAGCAGGAGAGCGACAGGGTCACACCAATGCAATGAATAAGAGGATTCTGGCAGCCTGGAGACTACAGGCTTTTTAGCTGTCACAGGGCGTTATGAACCCAAGTGGTGAATGGCCTCTGACTCAGCTAAAAGGGCCTGTGCTCAAAACCAGGAAGAGAGAAAGAGAGAGAGACTGATTAACAGAAAAGGGAAATAAAAGGAATAGGTCACACCAATGAAGGCAGAATGTGTTTACTTAAATCCAAGACTTTGCAAAGACTAAAAGCTTTTATTCTAAATGACCATGTGATCTAGCCCCCTCATGAACAATTCTCTTTTGTTTCCATTTGTATTACTATTACTTTTTCACCATGTCATGTTTATTTTGTTTGATCTTCTCTCTCTGTATCTTTTTCTCTCTTTGGCCATGTTTTCCCTCCTCTACTCTAGCTGGTTCTGTTTGTTCTTTTCATTCTGATTCTATGTTGGCAGATTTAACTCAAGATCACAGAAACGTTTTACTAGTCTGTTTTATCTCTTATGTTCCCTCTTTCTTACCCATTAAACTTTTATTTATTCCCCAACTTTCTTTATTGTTAGCTGTTTTGCATTATGAAACAAGCCAAGACACAGCAGTAGATCATTCTATTGACTTTCCCACATAGTTCGAATGTTGATTTCAGTTTCAACATACCAAGTGTTCTAGTCTCACTTATTATTGGATTCTAAATAAATAAATATGTGGGCATGAAGTATTATTTTATGATCTTACCTGTATATTGTTTTAAAACGCCCACTGAGAAAAAATAGCAACAAGATTAACACTGCAACATTATTATTTGTAATATTAATACTAGGGGTGACCCCGAATAGTCGACGATTCGATGCTTCGATAGGAGGAGCCTGATTCGACTACCAGTCTCACAGTCGAATATTCGCGGGGTGTTATGATCATGCCATTTTGTCTATATGGGGGTGCTCAAATGTCTGATTTCACATAGAACTACCGTTTTTTTCCCCAATAAGTTAATATACAGCCTATTATGAAAATGCTGTAAATAAGAATCTGAAAAGATCGTACACATAACATTATAATGAGAACATTATTAGTTGCCGTGTTTCTGCACGTTGTCGCATGAAGAACGCATCCACAAAAGGTGTTCACTCAGAACAGCGCAGACACGTTCATGTGCATTTGGGCCCTTTTTGCAGATAGCCTATAAGTCGTAATATTAACGTTATGTTGTATACATTACAAAGCATATTCTATATTAGATAAAGGATGAGTTAAATCCCATTGATTAAAAACCTGCTATCAAATGCGTCACTCTACTGGTCCTCTTCAGCGCGCGCAGCTCAAAACAGAAATGCAGAACATTAAAGGGGTCATATGATGCGATTTCAAGTTTTCCTTTCTCTTTGGAGTGTTACAAGCTGATTGTGCATAGATAAGATCTCTGAAGTTGCAAAGACTAAAGTCTCAAATCCAAAGAGATATTCTTTATCAAAGTTAAGACTCTGCCACGCCCCCTAAAACCGCTCGTTCTAACACGCCCCCACATACCTACCTCACTATGTGGAAATATTAGCATAATGCTGCCCAAATGTGCACGCAAAGAAAGAAGGCATGGTTTCAGTAACCGCAGTTAGTGTTGAAGCAGCCATGTCAGGGAGACGCTGTGTGTTTCTAGACGAAAGCAAAAGCACTTTATTTGGCCTTCCGAAAGTAGATGCATTTAGGAATCTTTAAGATTACTTACAACAAAACAGCAATGCATTTTATGGACGAATCAGCTTCTGAATCAGCTACTGTTTTGTTATTAGTTTAAGTATTTGCTATTGACTGTTCAAATGCGGAGTTTTGCGCATGGTGTGTGTGTGTGTGTGTGTGTGTGTGAGTGTATGTGTATGTGAGAGAGAGAGAGATCGCGAGAGAGAGAGAGAGAGAGAGAGAGAGAGCTGTCTTAACCGTGGCTTGTGTACTGCAAACACATACCAGCTTCATCACTGTGTCTGTCACGCGACTCTGTTCCCCTTTCGGGCTCTGTCTTTACATTTATTTTGAAAGATGAAGCTCGGGATTATGGTAAGGGGCGTTACATTTACATTCGGAAGGAGGGACTTTGTAGAAAACGAAGCGTTTGAGAGAGGCGGGGCATAGAGGACCTGTACAGTATTTGAAAAATAATGTGTTTTTTGAACATTAAAGCATGTCAACATATTCTGTTACACCAAATACACAAAATAATGATCTTTTAAAAAGCATCATATGACCCCTTTAATAACTACTGTCATATACATAATGAGAACACTATTGTAAAAAAGGTTGTGAATTCTTAGGGTTTCGCTGACGATTGATGTTAACTAATCAAAACATAAAACATTATTTACCCCGTTTGTATCTGCGAGGCGTCCCTTACGCAATTTTTTCTGTGTTAACGTCAGTAATTATGACTGTCGAATGTCTGACTTGACTCTTGGTAATGTATTTTGTAATGTATTCAGTAAAATTGATAATAGATAAAAAAAAGTTTCATCAGTTGTGTATAAAATGAGAGAGTGTGAGTAAGTGGAGTGAAATGAGAGACATGAAAGTAGCACTGGTTACAGTAGACAATAGAAAAGTCTGTGAGGGATAGAAGTACAGTGCGTTCAATGGACAATGTGACGTCTTTCCGAAACTCTCAGTAGACAAAAATCCATAAAACTGTTTTGAAAGTTTTGAGTTCTCAAAAATGACATGATTTAAGGCCTTTATACAGTGCATGCCACTATACAGCTCTATCCCTCACAGCCTCTGCATTAAATTCAATATGGCATCTAAGCTGATTAAGGTCCAATACCTCTGTTAGTGGACCGATGTACGGCATGAACAATGGCGAATAAATGCCACAATTAACCAATCAAAATCAAGTATTCCAAAGAGCTGTTTAATAGGTGTTGTTATGTCGTGATGTCTTTTTTTACTGTCTCTCTGGGAGATGTTTTTTGACACTCTTTCTGATGCTGGTCACACACACACACACACACACACACACACTCACACACACACACACACACACACACACACACACACACACACACACACACACACACACACACACACACACACACACACAAGTAACCACTACTGAATTAATAAACAGATAATTTAAAGCATGTCTTTCTGGCTCCATTCTGTCTCTATGGACATCCTTTGCCTAGCTGGCTGTCCTATTGATGCCTTCCTTCCTGTGTGGTGGAGCCACAGAGCTGTATGGCAGATAATACATTATCATTTTTCCAGCCACAATGTGTTTTGAATGATAAATTGGGGCTCTTTTTAAACACATCCATGTAAGAACCTGATAATGAGGCCCCTGGTGCATTCCATCTATCACGTTTTAGCTAGAAAAGCTCACTTGTGGGCAAATAAAATTACAATTAGCAATGTTTTAGCAGTTCTGATAACACTCTTACAACTGATAAGTGTTTATAAAAAAAAAATAATAATTCTCTTTATATACAGTCTCGAGTTTACTCTCCCACAGATGACCTTCAATTAGGAGCACATGCATTGGCTGAGGTTTCGGGAAGCACCTGCTCTGGGGAAAAGCATTCCATGAATTCCAATTTGAAGATATATGAGTCAGAGATTGAGAACATCCCTTTCAAAGCCAGTCGCTAATAGCTCATTCCAACATGAAGTACAGTCTCATTAGACACTTTATTTAGTACTTGCCACGACACCCTACTGAAATTCTGTTCTGCAAAGCTGAAGCCCACGTTTCATCTCTGGTTTTGCTGGCTCTGTGCTGTTACATTCCGTCCAGAAGCTCACACTGCTTTTGAGGAGTAGAAAATCGTGCTCCAACTGGAGTTAGGGAAAAGAGTTTGTATAGCTTAGAATTAGGTTAAAATAAATGGGTGCAATCGAGATCAAATTGACTCTAATTGGATTTAATACAATTCACCAAAAATCGCTCTTTCAAAAAAAAACATATTTTGTTTTCAGAAAACGTGAATATTATAAACAGTACTGTAATAATTGTATCATTTTTAAAATATATATTTTAAACAGAGGAAGTGTGGAAAAGCAGTTCTGTGTGCTTTTCTGAAGGTTAAACAGTATAGAGTATGGTACTAACAATGCCAAGGTCATGGGTTTGTGTCAAACTGACCAGCAACCAAAAACAAGGGTTAGAAACACATATTAAGTTCCAGTTATCTCGGTCTATAGGCCAGTCTATAGTAATGATTTAAACAGACACTGGCTTCTCTGTGAATTGCTATGTCTCAATGGTTCTAATACTGTACACTAGTAAAAAAAAAAAAAAGGGGTATTTGGTTTATATATACGGAGACAATCTTAGATGACTCAAGCTGCTCAAACAGATAGAACCTGTCCTGTTCATGGCCTAATAGAGGACAGTATCATTACTGAGGCAGCTGATCTTCAGTGAGTTGACTCTTTGTTGCTGTAGCTCCATCCTCAACCGCTTCCGGTTTGTCATTCTGAGTGACTCCAGGACACATAAACACAAGAAACCCCAAGCTGTTTTTCATTCCCACTACATCATCACGTTGTGGAGAGTTATTCTTGCTATTGACGTACAGAGGAATGCGGTTACACAGATAAGTGACTGAATACAATATTCCAGGCCAGCCTGGTCATTTCCAGACCACAAGGACGCAGTGGCAAATGAAAATAGAACTTTTGGCTGTGGGCTTCACAATGTCAGTGTGATGTGGATTGAATACGCTAGGTCCCTTTATCTCTTTTGCTTTCTTTGCCCTGATCTCTTTTCAAGGCTTAGTTCACGCAAAAAAAAAAAAGAAAGAAGAAAATTCTGTCATCATTTACTTATCCTTGTGTAGTTCCAAACATCTATGAGGTACTTTTTTCTGCGGAACATATATTTTGAATGTTTCAAATGTATCTTTTTTTCCAAAACAACATTGGACCACGTTGACTTTCATTTGACTGTCTATTTTCATACAAGTTTGGAAACAACATGAGGGTGAGTAAATAATTTTCACATTTGGCCTAACTATTCCTTAATCAAACTAACAGTGCTTCTGTCTGTTCTGTCTGTTAGTATAAAAAATAAGCAAAAGCATGTCTGAAGCCTGCTGAGTAGTTGCAACTATTTCTGTCTTTTTAACTGAACTATGTAGAGCATATACAGTCATGTCATTTGCAAGCTTCTGGCATGGACACACACATATGCACACGCACACATTTTGTTATTGTTTTTGGAGCCAAGGAGATGTCTGGAGTGTGCTGTGCAGGAAGGTAAAGACCATGTCACTGCTGACCTCCATGACCTTTGACCCCCTCATCCCTGCTGTTTTAGGATGTAAGTGTGACCACATCGGGGGGGGCACAATACGCAAGAACGTCAAACCACCAACATGCATCACAAAACAGCAGGAAACTCCCATAAAACACATTCATGTTCAAAGCAAACATGGACACACTAATGCACAAATGTCATGTTTCACACAAGCACATATACTGTACAACTATTCAAAAGTTTGGGGACAGTACGATGTATATTTTTATTTATTTATTGAAATGCTTTATTCAGGAGGGATGCATTAATCAAAAGTGACAGTAAATACATTCAGAATGTTACAGAATATTTATATTTCAAATGCTGTTTTTATGAACAGGCTATTCATCAACGCTACCAATGGAAAATGTATCAAAATTTCCATATTACGCAACACAACTGCTTTCAACATTGAAGAAATGTTTCTTGAGCACCAAATTAGCATATTAGAATGATTTCTGAAAGATCATGTGACACTGAAGACTGGAGTAATGATGCTGAAAATTCAGCTTTGCCATCATAGGTATAAATAAAATAGAAAACAGTTATTTTAAATTGTAATAATATTTTACTATATTGCACAATATTAACACATTACAAATTTATGGAAAAAAAAAACATTCTAGTGCCCCCTCAAAAATTGTTCATATTGAATACTGCCTTTTTTTCTTTTTTTTTGCATTTGATCCTTTCTTACTCACTACCATTCTATTGTGCTTTAAACACAGATACACATGAAATACATACAAACATTGACAAACTCTCATTGACTGCAAAATAGTTTAGTTCAGATATATCAGAGCTGACATCTTTCTCCCCAGACTCCCCTCTGAAGTTTCCACATTTTGTCCTTGAACAAAGACACTAAATTTAGCCTGCAGAGGGAGAGAGAGATACATAGATGATAGAAATAGAGAGTCTTTTATCACAGATTTTAATAATTCATCACGCATCTCCATTCTAGACAAGTCTCATTGCAGCGAGGCTGCTCAGTCATGTGTCCGTCATTCCTTCCAAACTGCTTCAGTCTGTGTTTGTAGACAGAGACACTGTGATTGTCCTCCTCTAACCCTGCTCACCGCCACAATCACACTCACAGCCTGTGCACTGAATTCTGATGTCTATCTCCATATTTCAATGAACCATAGACAGACAGACAGACAGACAGACAGACAGATAGATAGATAGATAGATAGATAGATAGATAGACAGATAGATGATAGATAGATAGATAGATAGATAGATAGATAGATAGATAGATAGATAGATAGATAGATAGATAGATAGATAGATTCAGAGGCCAATAACATATGAAATCCATTTGCGACAAGCGTGCCTTTATATTCCCTGTCTGCCTCCTCATGCTTTCCTCTCACAGTCTTTGTTTCATGGTGTCTAGTAGAGGCACTGATGGGAGCTATTTGAAGTCATAATCCCTTGGATGAACAAGAGAGGGATGATCGATAAGGCTGTAATGAAAGTGTGTGCGCACACGAAGTGCTTTGTGTGTGTTTGGGAGAGGATATTTCTAGATGCACACATGCTGGCAATGTGTATGCGTGCAAGTACTGATTAAAAAATTTAAACAAATTGAGCCAGTGACTTAGTTCAGCGTGAAACTATTTCAGTGTGATATGCAGTATAGTAAACTTTTCAGGTTATTGTGTATAGTGCACACTTCAGCCCTGCAGTTAGTTATGGAATGAGGGCCCAGTGTAACCAGATCTCAGTGCATCTCTTTGCAGCACAGTTGTGGTCAATATTTTTAGTCGCTGAGTCCTTTGTAATTACCCTCCTGTATTTACAGTATGTGTTTGCTTTCTGGATGGTGGCGGAAACACACAGGGAAAGAAAAGAGCAACACAAAAAAGCTAAATACATGGGCGAGCACACACCACATATATACTGTGTGATTAAGAGCCTGACCTCAGTTTTGGTCTCATTCTTTTGGGTTTAAGCTATTTTTTATGTGCTCTGAGTTAAACAAGATGCACCATATACACAAAATGTAAATAGGCTATAAATGAATTTGTATCTCTCACATTGTAGTTGTTAGATAATTAAATGTATCGGTGGCATCTTACCGATCATTTAGTAGATCTTAAGAGGAGGTTGGGTTGGAGGTTTCCAGTATATACTGCCTTTTGACAATGCTTAACTGCAAAGAAATCATATTTTACCTGAGTTATGATGTGAATTTGCAGTCGGTTTGAATGTAATCCAGTAAAAAGGCCGTGCACTGCGAATTAATGTCAAGAAACACATTTCTGCTGAGATGTCATTATGAAGACATGACAGTATGCAAACAAACATAACACCATCAGTATAGTCTGAATGACGATTAAATGACTCTGGTTCTTTTTAGTGGATGAAAAACATACAGGTCAACCGGTGTAGTCTGATTCATGAACAAATGACTCATTATGATCCGGTCCTTTTTAGTGAATCAAAAACATACAGAGCAACCAATGATGTCTATTTCAAACAAATTACTCTTTTGAGCAAGTTATTTAATGAATAATTCAAAAAGATGACAAACTGGTTTAGATCAGCATGACGAATCCTTCACTGAAGTCAGATCAGAGCATTTACTGAATCAACACCTGACTGAACTACAGGTTATCATTATTTCCAGTGATGTCCGTATCGAAATTAAGCATGTTTTGTGTCAGTGAACTTACTTATTGATTGTCAGTTTGACATTTATTACTTTTTTAATAATAAATTAAGATACATTCCTTCCTTGCATGTGCTGTATCCCAGTACAACACAGTATATTTACTGTATATACTAAATTTCCTTATACCATTTCTGCCAACTCTTATATTGTATTGTATTTGCTTCCAAGCTGTTTATTCAAATATATAACTAAACCGCATGTACCCCAAAAAGTTGGGAAGTAGCGATTTACTTTTGCATGTTTTGTCAAAGCAAACAGTGAAGTAAACAGGAACAACCCTTCGTTCTGAGAACAGTTTTCTAAGCTGCTTCATTGCAGTGGTAATAGGAATCCATATGCTGAGGGGAGTGCTCTTAAGTGAATCCTGGCAGGAGTATTAGTGATCTGCAGTTCATTAGAAGACTGTAAGCAACCCAATCAACACATTCACAACAGGTCCTGGAGTAGCAGAAGAGAAACTAACACATGCAGCAGAGGTAAAAAAAAAAAGAAAGAAAAAAACTCACTACAAAACACTGAATATATTGCACTGACTGGACTGTTCATATGTCTAAAACTTCAAATTCAAGCCACAAATATATTCCTTTCATAATTTTTCATTGCACCAATAAATCACTCAAAACATGACCACAAATGTGTATTAAAAAAGTAAATCGGCTCTGTTTTCATTTCATGTTGACTGTTTGAATTTGTGTAATACTTCTTTTTTATTGCATGTGCCAAGGAAATACAAACTTTTCTTTTGTGTCATGTGTGTGGCCCATGTGTGTGGCCAGTACTGTACGAGGTACACAAGTTATAAAAATAGATACTGAAATTAGCATTGGCATAACTCCATCCATGTCCTCTGCTCTGAACAGAGAGGACAGTGCGATGAGTGTTATGTAGACACATTAGTAATCAAATGTGTGTGGGCGCCCTCTGTGATGTCATAGACCCCTCCAGCCAGAGTGATAAGACAGGGTGTGGCTTCTTCTTCACCCGACACGAGAGACGCTGATAACAAGTCTTTCATCTTGTGCCATCTGGGGCCTATATAGGTGGACACAGTAGTCTGAGACAAACTGGTCTGAGTGAAGGTAGGCCTACTATGACCCAATGCTGGGGAAGCTACTTTATTTCGTTTTTTAAGGTTCTGTCTACAATTTTTGGTCATGGAATTTTTAATCACTATAACTACTCTATAACTTTAATGAACAAGTTGAAAACATACAGTACAGTCAAATAGGTGAACCATTGTTTGAATCATTGATTTATGTGAACCGTCTGAAAGAACCCATTCACTAGAATCAATCTGGATTATCCAGTGATACATATGAGAGAGAGAGGACCATATAGGATGAACCGATTCACTACCAACACTATTGACTTGGAATGACTTAACATTTACGACACTACAATTGAGAGAGAGGAGCATTTAGTACAAGGCAATTCACTAGAATGAATCCTTATTGATAATGCTAAGAGAGAGAGAAAGCGAGCAAGAAGAGACAACGTAAGATGAGCGAGCTTTACTTCCTCAGCTTAGACATTTAAAACAGCGATTTTGGTGGTGCTACAGCACCACTCGTTGAAAGTAGCTCATTAATGGAAAAGTCTTAGTTACATTCACATTTACTGAAAACATCACTAATTTTAGTTAGTTAATCCCCAACACCAGTATGACCCAGCATGACGCTGTAGAGCAGCACAGCAAAATACAATTCGACAATAATTACAGCACTGTAAAGCAGAACTTTAGTTATGAAGGCCATACCATCATCATAATTCAACATACGCAAAGCTAAGGGCATTTTAATAAACAGCACAGCAAATTACAAAGGAAAATAGCCTATATAGCACATCCCAACTTCACCCGGAGAGTTACTGTAAGGCGCTTTGTTCTTTGGTATTGTTCGGATGCCAGATAAAGCAAAGTGCATCAATAATTTACTGTTTGTGAAAGTATGAGTCTGTTTGTGCATAGAATATTGTGTGTGCTTAAACTGCATGCCTCTCATGTAGGGTTATGAAATGCACACTAGGACTAAGTAAACACTATCCATGTACGCTCTCTCTCTCTCTCACTCTCGCTCTACTAGGCTTACCATAATGCTTCTCATTGATCGCCCTGTAAATTTATTAGCTATTGTGACAGCTTCCTGCCAGGTTCAGCAGGAAATCAGGGGAAACGCACGACTGCTCAGATAAAGGGAGGGCACACAATACCTATTGTGTCCTAACTGTGGGTCAAACTATTACCCAAATGGGATGTTTTTCAGGTATGCGTGCATGTTTGTGTCTGTGTACGTGTGTCCATGTTTTCTCAGTGTGGTTATGCGTGTACCTCATTCAAGCTGAAGAATGAAGACTGTTGCTAAAAAGGCTTACAAATTCCAACCGCAAGGTCAGAATAACAAGAAAGCGTGGATGAGAAGAACAAAACAGGCTAGAGGAAATTGATTCTAAAGGCAAACAAACAAGCGACAATGGCTTTAAATGAATTACCTTGACCTTCTGCGGTCAATAGCACTTTGAGTTTAAGTTCAGTGTTATGAGGAAAGTATTTGAAAGGGTGTGCACTGACTAGTGGTCGCATGAATGGAAAACAATATTATCTGTCCTGTCAATACTGCCAAACAGTACAGTCACAAGAATATCTTGACATCTATTAAGCTCACGACTAAATTTAAACCCTGGGACTGAGCTTCGAGTAGAGTTTGTCCCAGGTCTATTTGTGTAAGTGATTACAAAATGACTGCCTATCTGAAACAAGTGTCTCAGTTTATGTTTGGAGGTCTGTGTTCCAGTATCTGCATTATTTTTTTTATATATTTTATTGTTTATGTGATATGTGTCAGAGGGTTTGGGGCTTGTTTGTATTGTGAGTTTATGTGTAACGACACTGTTTAGCTGGATGATTGACAGCCCCCTGTTTCCAAACAGGCAGCATGTCTTACAGGCATCGAATACACAGAAGCACACACTGAGACATAAATAGGATTGACCGATTTATTTCCTAACCCTGACCTTAAGGGACGGCGAATGCTAATGCTCATGTAACCTGTACGCATCTTATCAAATATCAGCAACAGCTATTCAGCCCTACTGAAGCAATAATCAATAATTGATCATTTCGGACTGTACTAATATAAGAAGACATGATAAGCCTGGTACAGGTAGTTCATAATACTGCTTAACATACACTACAGGACTTTGCTAATACCTGCAATAGATTTTTCATTACCTTCATCAGGAGTGCTAATGAGCCTTAGGATCTCTTAGGACCACCAAGGCAATTACCACAGGTTCAACAGTAATGGCAAATCATGCACTTTGGTGTCTCTTGGCACAAATACAATGTTTTTTTTTTTGTTTTTTTTACATGACACCAGTTAAATATAGTTGATAAACAATTTTTTAATATTACATTTACCTCGCATAAAAAAAGCTAGTTTTAAACAGATCAAATTGGAGATTTTGGCTTGTCCCACCTCAGAGGTCATGACCTTCTCTTGGTTTTCAATTCATTGTAGTAGAATTTTGAATTTTGAACAGGTTTACAAAATTGAAAAGCAATAGAAAATGAATAGAAAACAGCTCATATATCTGAGGTGCCTTATCCAACATTGAAAATAGAAATAACCATATTTAGAAATTCTAACTACCACATTTGACACTTCCTCCTGTTATAGAGGATTCAGGATATGGCTCAGTAAAACTGCATATGTTCAGGTTATGAATTTTTTTGCAGTGGTTTAAACATAAGTATATTCTGCCACCTACTGTTGCTTAGGGGTATGATAGAATTTCACAGCTAGTGTACAAGTCATGGCCAAAAGTTTTGGCAGTGACATAAATTTTTGCAAAGTTTGCTGCTTCAGTATTTGTAGATTATTTTTCACATGAAAAACAATGATAAGCATATCATAAGTTCTAAAGGCTTTTATTGGCAAAAAATATAATGAGTCAATATTTACAGTGTTGACCCTTGTTTTTCAAAACCTTTGCAGTTTGCTCTGGCATGCTGGATATTAGCTTCTGGGCCAAATCCTGACTGATAGCGATCCATTCTTGCCTTATTAGTTCTCGGAGTTAATCACGATTTGTGGGCTTCTGCTTGTCCACTCTCCTTTTGAGGACTGACCACAGGTTCTCTATGGGATTGAGATCCGGGGAGTTGCCTGGCCACGGATCCAAAATTTCAATGTAATGATCTTCGAGCCACTTCTTCATCACTCTTGCTTTGTGACATGCTGCTCCATCATGCTGGAAAATTGCTCATGGATCGTTGGAAGAAGTCACTCTTGCAGGACGTTTTGATACCATTCTTTATTCATGGCAGTGTTTTGGGCAGAATTATGAGAGACCGGTCCCTTGGTTGAAAAGCAACCCCACACATGGATGGTCTCAGGATGCTTCACTGTTGGCACAACACAGGACTCATGGTAGCGTTCACCTTTTCTACTCCGAACAATCGATTTTCCAGATGTCCCAAACAGTCGGAAGGAAGCTTCATCAGAAAAAATAACTTTGCATTAGTCTTCTGCTGTCCAATCCTTGTACTTTCTGCAGAATTTCAGTCTGTCCTTGACGTTTTTCTTGGAGAGAAGTGGCTTCTTTGCTGCCCTTCTTGACACCAGGCTGTTGTCCAAAAGTCTTGGCCTCACTGTGTGTGCAGATGCTCTCACACCAACCTGCTGCCATTCCTGAGCAAGCTCTGCACTGCTGGTGACACGATATCTAGCTGACTCCTCAGAAGGAGACGGTCCTGGCGCGTGCTGAAGACTTCTTCACTGCAGTCGAACCACTCTCCTTGAAGTTCTTGATGATCGGGTAAATGGTTCTTTCAGGTGCAATATTCTTTGTAGCAATTTCCTTGTATGTGAAGCCATTTTGATGCAAAGCGATGATGGCTGCACGTGTTTCTTTGGAGGTAACCATTGCTAACAAGAACACAATGATTGGAAGCGCTTCTTCCCTCCTTTTATAGTGATCAGTCTGCTCTTACAATCTAATTACTATGATAGTGATTAACCTGACTAGTACTCATTCACACTTTCACATGTGCTGCTGATATGATTAGTCAATTAATGTTGGTCATTTTGTGTCAGGATAAAAAAAAAAGTGAATTTTTTTATCTATTTATTTATTTGTGAAAAGTTCATTTTTTGGCCAATGAAGCTTTTAGCAATTATTTAAAATACACCTGATCACTCTATACAATAATCTAGAAACAATGTGAATGAACACCACAACAGCTTAAGCAGAAAACTTTGCAAAACACAAATAATAAATTTGTGAAATTATATATATCTGTATAATAAAATATATATAAAATGTAGCGTCTGGACCACTCAAACACACAATATATATTTTGTTAACTAGATTTAACAAATACTCTGTACATTTCTTAAAAAGTATTCATTTCTAGTTTAATTTCTTAAATTAAAAAGAATGCACACAAATTTATATAATATTTTTTATTTCATATGCACACATTTCTGTCATAAACATCAACTTTGAGCTTTGTGTAAAAATCCCATCATATGGTGCGCCACAGATTTGGTCACAGTGTAATCTTTTATACTATGTAATTAGCTGGCAGACGATATTATCTGTGCCAATGTGTAAACTAATAGTTGTCATAAGGTGTGTTTAGAATAAACATACAATGGCAACAGCAAAGCTTGCAAACTTACTTAAAATGTCACATTTAAATAAACTTTTTACTGATTTAATCATTTAATAGCCTGACATACCAGCTTTTCTTGTCAACAATGAATCAGTGACTATGAATTGCTATGTTAAAGTAAATGTCCTTTATATTTAATATTGTTATTGTCTTTTTCTAATCTGCCTACTACTAGATTTGTGCTGTGCATTCATTAAATGCTTTATATTTTTTTCTTTTTTAAACTTCCATACAATCAAACCAGTTGATTATGTCCAAGAACATACAAGTATTACCATAAGGCCCCAAGAAGTTTGGACAGACTGTAATTACAATAGTATGGTATTACCTGAAGTGAGCAGTTCTGCTGCTTTCCTGTCCTCTTTGATATACAGAGAGGTCATTAAAAAAAACAGGCCTCCCAGAACCCCAATGAAGGGGCACAAAAGAATGCTATATTCCAGTCTACGGAAATCCCAGTGGGAAGATTCTGGATTGTACTTGAGCAGAGCATCTGAGATCTGAACAAAACACACAAAAAGATAACAGTCCTTTTGTCTTTTAAATTACACTGTGAAAAGAATGTAACTATGCCAAGACAGTTGCTGTTTCACAAGGTGCAATTTTGTATCCAGTAGTGTCATGTGTTCCAAAGCACTTCTGGATAGTGACAGCATAGCCTTTGACCCCACTACTATTTTATATGAAAGTACTGTGGATTAAAATATTCTTACCGCCCCAATAAGGTATGGACTTCCTGCATCTCCAAGGAGATGACAGACCATAATCTGTAAGGCTTCAGCTGTCGCTCTTCTAGTAGGCACAACAACATACTAAAAAAGAACAAGATTTAAAAGATGTCTTTTATAAACAACATCGTTCAGCAGTTGTAATATAATAATCACGCACTTGAAAAAGAAGAACAATTAATTAAACAGTACACCAGTGTTCTCAACATTTCTAAAGTTCTTTAGCATAATGGCATTAGTTTAAAATATTATACCATTAGCTTATCGCATCACTTAGCAGGTCTCCACATGCTCGTAACCGAGTGTTTCATCTCAGCACTTTTTATATTGTATTGAGAAGCGTAAACCTCTCACCAACAGAATGTCCGCCAGAATAGCCCAGTTAAGGGACAGCAAAGTTTCTCCAATAGCAATGAATGTCTGTAATATGGCAAAAAAATCAAAACAGAGACAAATATTTAGAGACCATATCACCCTGCTGGTCACATTGTGATGTGACAGAAAATAATCTGTGCTATACTGTAAATATTCAATGCATGTGCCAAAGTACATTATTTAAGTTTGGGTCAGTTAAAGGAGTATATTACTTTAAAAGAATAGTTCACCCAAAAATGTACATTCTGTCTTTCATTTAATCACCTCATGACGTTCCAAACCTGTAAGACTTTGTGTGTGTGTGTGTGTGTGTGTGTGTGTGTGTGTGTGTGTGAGAGAGAGAGTGCATTCAGTTTAAGCTAGTATAGGGTGCAGTGTTGTTTTAAACCCCATTGATTTTCACTGTATGGACAAAAACAATTGAAACATTCAAATTAACATCTTGCTTCTTGTTTTCCACAGAAGAAAGTCAGTCATACAGGTTTGAATTTAAATTTTTGGGTGAAATATTTCTTTAATATGAATGCAAATACACAAACTAATCCAGCCTGCTGCAGGAACGTGGCTGATCTTTGCTTACGTATGTGGCCGGGATGCTGGTGCCCGCCAGGATGATGGCAATAAAAAAGCAGGGGGAGGAACTGAGCATGCCTACAGCACATATGAGAGGATCTGCGTTGGGCAGTCTGACTCTCAGCTGCTTTGATATGTAGGTGCCCAGAAACACTCCCACAATCCCCGTCACCACTGTGATTGCTCCAAAGATGTAACTTTCACAAGAGAAAGAAGAAACAGTGTGATGATATTCAATTCATCAGATTCTCTGTTTTATTCCTCACAGAACCTACCAGGCCAGTCTGACTAGTCAAGCTCATAAATACACTCTATAAGCAGGTCAACTCAGTTTGAAGGTAGAAATCGCTGAGAAACATAATAAACAGATATACTGACAGGATTACAAGAGCAAAAACAGCTGCAGTAAACAGTAAGTGTGAGTATCTAACCAAGGAACAAGCTGATATGAACGCTATCACTCTGCTAACCAGTCTTTGGCTAATCACATTTTCTAGTCTACAGTTAACCTTGCGGATTTCCTCTAAGATCTGTCCAATTATATAAAGTCAAAAGGCAAGAGACTTGCTGTACCTGTCTAAAGGGTTACAGGGCTCTTCTTTGCAAGGTAGTCTGAGACCCTGTTTAATCTGTGCACGAGACAGGAAGGTGGGGGTCCAGAAGGCCAGAGCCCCTGTGACAAAAGCCATAGCAGTCACACCAAGAGAAGACCAGACAAAACTCCGACTGGAAAGAAGGCACAGATCCAAAACACAATAAATAGTCATATTTGCTTAGGAACTACCTGTACCATACGTGAAATCCCAAAGAGCAGTTAAACTTTTTGATCCAAAGGGACCACTTTGTCCAACACAATATTATCCCCATATTGGATATTTCCTCTGGAATTTCTGCTAAAATTATGACAACTCTGCTTGTTTTCTATTTTTATATTAAAAGAAACTGGGAGTATTGATATCTTGAATTAATTAAACAATTGCATTATGTATGTTTTTCAGCAAAAGTAATATTTATATATATATATATATATACTGACATGCACTGTGAGCTGTAAGGTCTTATATAGACAGGTGTGTGGCTTTCCTAATCAAGTCCAATCAGTATAATCAAACACAGCTGGACTCAAATGAAGGTGTAGAACCATCTCAAGGATGATCAGAAGAAATGGACAGCCCCTGAGTTAAATATATGAGTGTCACAGCACCTTTGCTGTGACACTCATATATTTAACTCAGGGGCTGTCTGAATACTTAAGGCCCATATACTCATATATTTAACTCAGGGGCTGTCTGAATACTTAGGACCATGTGATATTTCAGTATTTCTTTTTTAGGTGTGTGTATGTATATATATTCATACACACACCCTGTGCCCACAAGTTGACTACTGCCCTAGAGCATAGGACACTACGATCATGACAAAAGTTATGAGCACATGCCAGACTGAATGACATGTACAGTTAATGTAACTTGAATCTCTACAATGACTTACTTCTTCAGGAGGTACTTGATGTCCTCAATATAAGAGGTGCTTTCCATGGTTGCTCCTCCTTTGTTGTCGGAGGCTCCACGGCGAGGATTAGGAATCAGAAACACCAGCAGCAGCAGACCCAGGCCTCCTAGAGCTGGACTGAACTACATCAGAACCAAACAAGCACCTCAGTTTTATTTTATAAATGTGGAAGGTAATTGTCTTGATTATATTAAATCAATAAATGCTTACATTGCAAATCCATTAAAATAATCATTAATGATGTGCAGAATCTTGTGAATGACATTTTAATTTTACTTGAGTGATTAAATGAATCATTTTAGCACCTTCAGCTTTGGTTTAAGTCAACTTAAAACTTAAAATTTTGTTTAATATATTTAATTCTTTGATGTTTGAGATCCAATAATTGCTAGACCCTCTGCAATACTGCTGTGAACCCCCTGTTTACGAGCAATGTTTTAGTGAGAACAGAGCATATAAACTGCTTTAACACTGATGCACTTTAAATTGAATGGAGTACAGTTATGCAATAGGAGTCCAAGGAAATCCAATTAGACCCTAAAATACAATGCAGTACAGAGCCTTTTTTATAGCGGCTACATTTAAGTTGACTGCATTATAACAAGATTAGCAAAATATTAAATCTAACACAGTAAAGATGTAACAGTACTTATATATACTTATGAAATATATATTCCCTTACCCTCAGGGCCCAACGCCAGTCCCCTGTTGCATTAGCTATAGTTGCCCCCAATATATATCCAAGACCACTGAATGAAGATTTAAAGGAACACATACAGTCAGAAAGAGTAAAAAAAGATTTTTTTAAAAGTCTTGCCAATATGTAGAAAACGTTCTATACAATACCACACAAGCAAGAGCTGTGATTGTGATTTTATACAACAGTTCAAGAAACAAGAGGCTAATATTAAGTAAGCTACACTGACACAGTTTTGCCATTTAATTTGTCTATTTTTGCTATGGCAAAAATTTTTGTTCCAAACAAACCTACAGAATTATTGTTCCACATCTCAGAGCAACAGTATTTTGAACAAATCAGTTAAGTAAATGACTCAATGAAACGCTTGTTTCATTCCTAAATGAATCAGAGTTTTCTCATTTACAGTAAATGGTTTGAGTAAATGAGTCGATGACACACTCATAAAGACATTCATTTGTCGATGTAACCTGCAGAAAAATTCATTGAAAAATCCTCACCACTAAAGGACAGACTCACAGGAACACACAAACACAGATAAGCAGAGTCATACAAATAGTGAAAAGTCTGTATGTCTTTTGGCAGTAAGGCCTTCACCTTCCAACCGGTATGAAGATGTAGAAGAAGGAGATCATGAGAGTTCTCTGGGTGCCAGTGAACAAGTCACCAATGATAGTAGGTGCTATGGTTGAGTAACTGGCCTCTCCTGTCCCAACCAAGGCCCTTGTCAGGAGCAGAACCCAGAAGTGCTGTGGTAAGAGTAAAGAAAAAAAAAAAAATTAAATTCTGCTCTTAGAATTTTAACACTGTTAAAAAAAATTAAGATATTGATAAGTATAGGTACAAAACAAGACATTTACACATTATTAACATTGTGAGACTTCACAAAGATTACACTGGAATTCCAGAATTCCCCAGAAAGACTTTATACCGTACCGATTTTTTGACAAAAGAGCTGCCTAGTGTTGTGATGATCCACACAATCAGCCCAGCAATCATGATAAGCTTCCTGTCATAGCGATCTCCGAGGTAACCAAAAACTGGCGCCAAGAGCATAAAGCTACAGATAAAAACTGTAAATATGTTAATACAGGGTTGATGGCAAAGGTACACTACAGTTCAGAGGTTTGGTGCTGTAAGATTTTTTTAATGTTTTTGAAATACCTCTCTTTATGCTTATCAAGGTTATCAGTAATGTTTTTAAATATTATTACATTTTAAAATAACTGATTTCTGTTTGAATATATATTAACATGTAATTTTTTACTGTCTTCAGTTACATGATCCTTCAGAAATCATTTATGTATGCTGATTTGGTGCTCAAGAAACATTTTTATTATTATCAAACACTTGCTTAATACTTTTTTTTGTGGAAACAGTGACTTTTTTTTTTTTACCAGGATATTTTGATTAATAAAAAAGTTTTAAAATGCATTTCTTTACTGTCACTTTTGTGATTAATGTAATGCATCCCTGCTGAAATTTTTCTACTTATATACTTTTCTACTTATATGTCATTAGATTTCACAACAATAGCTATAAAACATGATGCTGTGTAACAGTGTCATTTATGGATTATGCAAATTCATGTAACAAACTGTGTATTATTTTAATGACTATCAGTAAGCAGAACAGTCAACCTGCAGTTTAGAGATTAGAGCATGAAACTTCAAATGTGAAACTGCAAACCAGATCAGTGTTAGATTAGATGATTCAGACTTATTGGCTCTTTCAAGTAATGCATGCTACAAGACCGATTGCTTCATTTACACACAAATTTTAACAAAGTGTTTTGCGCAATGCTGGGCTTGTTCCTAAAATGACAGAAAAAGACCTATTAGTTCATCTCCAACAAGGAAGTACTCTTATAAAATCCAGTTCTGCAATGTTCTCTTCCTTTTTACTGTATTGTCAATGCTATGTACTACAAACTCAAACTGATACCTGTCTGTAGGAGGCCAGATGTGCTGTCAGGGATTCCGAAGTAATTCTGGATGCTAAGCAGCACACCTGGAATAGAACCAGAACAAAGTCTGTCTCTTTTTATAGTGACTTTCTGTGAACCATCCCAATTGATTTGGATTTGATGAGAGTGTGCTCACCTGCTATAGTATAACGGTCCATATAGTTGAGAAGATTGATATAGCAGAGCACTGCCACTGCGATATAGGAGCGTTTCTGAGAGATGGAGTTTGTTTGCATGGAGGATGCATCACTATCTGGTTGCTCAGAGCTCAAGGACCCATAATGTACAGTTGTGTTTGAGCGGAGGCTCAAGCGGGTTCTTGGTCTTTGTTGGTTGGAGGTCATGATGCCCACTGTCTCTATGAATGCAGAATGACTTTTTTGCCTCTATAAAAAGAACAATGACTTGTAAGCACTTGACAGATAGTAAAGTGCCAAAACATTGTGATTTTCAAGCCCTCTTCAATGAATGCTTTATGAACTGTGGCAATAACCTCACGGGTTTCATGTGATTCCAGGACACTGGACAAAGTTTAAGTAACTACGGCATCGAGAAAAAGCACAGGTCTGGAGTGTAGTCACAATCACTGAACACAGCTAGTGACAAATGCTTTATATGGAGATAAACACTCAACGGTATTTTATCAAATAATTAGTTTTGCTGGATTGGTAAAAAGTAACTTATATGTTGTGCAAATGACTGATGTCTGTTTACACTTACCCAGTGATGCTAACCTATTAGCATGCTACCATTTTAAGTCCTGTTTAAAGTGATGCCATTGTGCTTATTTATCATTACCAAGCTTGGTTTGACTAAATTTGACTGGTTTATAGGCCATTTTGTTCAGTTGTGTGCAAAGTAAAACTGTGGTTAGACTTCCTGAATAAATGGGCCAGGAAACCAAACCATTATGAAAAATTGATTTAGAGTTATAAATGATAATGGTGAACTGAAGCTTTTATGTCATGATTTAACATGTAAAACCAAATACAGAGTGCATTTGACTAAAAAAAAAATATTTGTCTGTATTACAGTCAGAAGAGGATACCATTTTGTGAGAATGCAAGGTAGACTGGAACTTGATATCTCAAAGTTGGTTGTGATCTTATTAGTTGCACCCAGCAACCTTTCTTATTACTCTCTCAACCCAAATGCTAGATGCTATTTTAGAAACAGCACAAGTCCTCTTTGACATCGCTTTAACCACAGGCAGAACATCTTGTATTTTATAAACTTTTATGGGCAACATCTTTTAACCTAAATAATGTTAATGTTTTATTGTGTTATATTAAGAAGTTGTATTGTGTATGAAAAAAGTTGAAATAGATTAAGCTTCCTTTTAGTGGTAGTCTGAACAGACGATACTTCCAAGTTCAGGTCAGGACTGATTTCCTCAGCGGACTGCCAACAATGCCACTGTTGAGGTGATTAGCTGCATGGCCACAACAGGACAATGCCATATGATTGTTCAACTTTGAATCTAAAATGCAACCAGTCTTTTAGACATTGAGGTTATGCTATATTTCAGTATATTTCAGTTAACATTTTTTGTGCAATCATTCAGATGGAAGATTTCATAAGAAAATAATTTTACCTTGATAGTTTCAATAATTTAAGCATAAAGTTACTTACACTTTAGTCGATGTGCCCCAATGCCAAGTGACGCTCTAATCCATGTTTTCTGTCTTTTTTCTAGCTTTTTTCTTCCTTTCTATTTCTTTTTTGCAGTGTTCGTTGAGATGTCACTTGTAGAAATAGAAAGGCGTTCCTGTGTGAATACAGCACGCTGTAGGGTTATCAAGTTAGAATCAAGCCCTGCCCTCGTTTCTCTAGTCACACGCAGCAGAAGAGTTCCTACTTGTGTCGCAATATAGACCACAAACCAGTAGATTTTCGATTCCATGCTCTCTTCATACTTTCTGCTTCACACCGATCTGTTACCCAGATCTGCCAGGGCTTTTGGCATTATGCTTCACAGTAATGCTCTGAACACCAGGACAAAGGTCTGACAAACAAAGCTGCTTGAAAATTAACTCCATGCAGTCAGGGAATTCTTCTATTGTAACCTAATCTTGTATTGGTTGTTTAACTGAAGTTTATGACCCTTGTTTTATACAGTAAACAGTTCATATTCTTGCATAGATAGATGAATATAGATAAGCCATAATCATGTTTACTGGCGATATCTTGGCAGTGAGAGTCTCTATTGACTTTCTTTTGGGTCAGTCTAATCTAGACTCTTGATAATTTGTCATTTTGTTGTTAAGCTTCTTTACAAGGTTTCGTGCTGAATTGTGAAACTTAAGATGTCATATTCTGCTGTCCAGATTATGCATAACGTTGTCCTTCTTGGGAAATAATCTGCCTAACAACTTCTCTAAAAAAAAGCCACTGTATATACATTGTTCCATAAGTAACACAACACTGGCCTCCGTGTTCTCTAAGACCACTTACTGAGTGTCATCGCATGTGTTTGTGTACAGTGAGCACAGTGACCTGTCACCAAATCTTTCCTGTATTGCTGATTTCAATGAAAAAATAAATAAATAAATGTAGGTTGTGGTGTGTTATAACTCAGCAATGCGGTTATAATAAAGCACGGTGGGTTTTGGAAAATTACATTTAGGCCAATCAGTAATTCAGAAACATCAAGTTTAAAACGAACTGAAACAAACAGTCACCATTCAAAATCAGAATCAGAATCAGAATGAGCTTTATTGCCTGGTATGTTTACACATACGAGGAATTTGTTTTCGTGACAGAAGCTCCACAGTGTAACAGAATGACAGTGACAGAACAAAAAAACACAGATAATAAAAAATAAAAATAAATAAAAAATAAAAAATAGAACAAGTAAAATAAGGAATACAAAATATACAAATCGACAATTGTATGTACAGGTATATAACAATAGACAGTTTTATGTACAGGTATATTATGTGCAAATTGAAATGTAGACTGAGTATGTGTGTTAGATAAATAAGTGTATGAGTGAATAAATAGTGTGTGTTCCACAGTTATTGTCAAGTGTTCATGAGATGGATGGCCTGAGGGAAGAAACTGTTCCTGTGTCTGGTCGTTCTGGTGCTCAGTGCTCTGTGGCATCGACCAGATGGCAACAGTTCAAAGAGGGAGTGTGCTGGATGTGAGGGGTCCAGAGTGATTTTGCCAGCCCTTTTGCTTACTCTGGATGAGTACAGTTCTTGGAGAAAAGGGAGGGTTGTACTTTGTAAGGATTCGCTCAGCAGTCCGGACTACCCTCTGTAGTCTTCTGAGGACAGATTTGGTAGCTGAGCTGACCCAGACAGTTATTGAAGTGCAGAGGACAGATTCAATAATGGCGGAGTAGAACTGTTTCAGCAGCTCCTGTGGCAGGTTGAACTTCCTCAGCTGGCGAAGGAAGTACAACCTCTGCTGGACCTTTTTCACAATGGAGTCAATGTGAGTGTCCCACTTCAGGTCCTGAGAGATAGTGGTGCCCAGGAACCTGAATGACTCCACTGCAGTCACAGTGCTGTCCATGATGGTGAGTGGGGGAAGAGCAGGGTGGTTCCTCCTGAAGTCCACTATCATCTCCACAGTTTTGAGCGTGTTGAGCTCCAGGTTGTTGAGACTGCACCAGACAGCCAGCTCTTTAACCTCCTGACTGTAAGCAGACTCGTCACCGTCCTGAATGAGGCCGATGAGTGTGGTGTCGTCTGCAAACTTCAGGAGCTTGACAGAGGGGTCTTTAGAGGTGCAGTCTTTGGTGTACAGGGAGAAGAGCAGTGGGGAGAGGATGCATCTTGTCATTTGTAGTAAATGTCACTTAGTACATCATGCCAGTAAAAAATGTTGAATCAAGACATTACAGTTTTTCACATTTGCTAAGACACTAAACCCCATTCTCTAAACCAAATTCTCAATAGCCTAAACCAAACTGTCAAATAAATCACTCTTTCAGCAAAACCTTAAACAAGTTCAGGCAGTTTAGACACTGTTTGCAGATCTCATGCACTCTTTTAGCAAAATTCTAAACTCATTCTCACTCACTAAAATGCAATTTGCACCATGATAACCTTGTGATGCAAAACCGTAAACACAAGAATGCAAAAGTTAAGCACAACTGCAACACGGTTGTCACCGTTTACAAACAATAATTCAAAACTGTTCACACTTGTTTCTAAATATATGAATGTACCAAATATAAGCCAGTTCAAATTGCACAGATGGCATGGGTGCATCCATCAACCTGAGAGGTATGGAAGAGTGCATATAAGAGGTGGAGGAAGAGGAGGACGAGGAAGAGCATGACCAAGAACACTCATTTCAGATTAAATCAGTGCTACTGTGATAGACAATGTTCTAGTGCATGGAATGACCGAGGCAGTACAAAGAGTTCAACCTAAATTGAGCAGATTCTCTGCATGTGGCCACCATAATCAGTTGGAACGTTCAAAAGAACAGCAAAAGAAGAGTGGAAGAGAATCTTGTGTAGAATTGCAAGACTACCCCGTTAGGGTGGAAGAACTGGCCTGTGGTGACAGAAACGTGCTGTCTTGTCAAGGCTGGATCCACCAACACCAGAGGGGTTTTCCCCCATTGCCTGCCTGCAATGTACAGTAGATGAAGTCCTCTGATTCATATGTGTGTATGTATGCATGCATGTGTATATACTGTATGCACCAAACTTAGGTCTTTCTTTTGTTTGTTTGTTTGTGTGTGTGTGTTCCTTTTTGAGAGTAAATGTTTTTTTTGGTATATTCTCTATATATTTATTCACCAAACTGATTTGTGTGTGTGTGTGTGTGTGTGTGTTTATTGCAAAATATTTACTAAATACAATACACATTTTTTGTAACTACATGCACTGGACACTGTGTTCTCAATTTTTTGATGTAGTGTCTAATGAATGATCTGTAGTGTGTGTATTATTGACTAATTTGTGTATGATTTTAAAGCTTTGTTTGATTTTGAGTACAGGTGAAATGGTTTTGAAGCGATTGTTTGATTTTGCCAGAAGAGACAGTGGTTCTGTGATTTCTGTGAATTTTAAGGTTTGGATTAGTTGTTTTAGGTTTTGAGAAAATAAGTGATGGTTTTAAGAAATGTGTTTTAGCAATTCAGAAAAACTGTAAACTAGATTTATTACTCTTTACTGTCACCTAGTGGATGAGTAACACTGTGCTTTACATAAAATCAAAAACTTTTCACTGAAACTGGCACTTGCAAAAACTAAACAAATATTAAATGCGTAATCAAACTAGTTACAGCATTAAGCTATAATGATGCACAAATATGCACGTACTCAATAACTGAAATGTCTTTTATCATTTTCTGCGTGTATTTGTCAACAATGTTGTTGTTGATTCAACAACGACACTGAAGTGCTAACATAAAGTACGACATTTCGCAGTCAAAGCCATTGCTGCTTGTTATCATTAATACGTGTATGTGTTTGAGACAGCGCGAATCCTCTGCCCATAAGTATCCCAGGAGCGCTCTCTCCTCGCGGCCTCACAGAGAGCAGAGCGCATGCGCACACCGGATTAGAATGTTGAGTAAAACTGACTAGAGCAGAGACGGAAAGACGAGCAAGCAAATTCAAACATATTTTCTCCTTAGCGAAGTGAACAACCTAGAATATAACTTATAAAAACATGACGGAGCCCCAGTCAGCACTGTTACTCAGAAGACAGCTAGCAGGTAATTTTTCAAAGGCTGTTGGCAAAACCAGGCTAACGAACCGGTGAACATTTTAGCCTGCCAATGCAGTCGAGACGGAGGTGTTAGCCGTTAGCCGTTGTTTAGCTGCTAACGAGCGCTGTATTTATCTTAAAGCATTCGTTAGCGAGTTAGCAGCTAAAATACCCGGCTAAAGGCTAACTCCTGCTGTCTTTTGTTATTTTTAAATGCTATTTTGGTACAACTAACGATTGAATATGAATCCGAGAGCCGTTAAGATGCAATTAAAATAACAATACGCATACATTCTTGTGATTTTATTCATTTTGTTGACGTACATGTATAAATGTCAGGCAGTTCCGTCCGTATCACACCGGCGGGGCCGTTCGCAGTCGGCTAGCCCGTGTTTTGACATCTGTGTCCGGACGAATTTACAGAGGCGCACCAGCAGCAGTCGGTATATCGTCTCGTTAACGCAGAGAAACTCTGTCATTGGCTCCGTTTCCGTTCACCATCTTATCGTGATACGTCAAACCAAAATTGTTATCACAAGGCTCAAAGGTGAGATTTATAAGCCGTACATTGTGTGCCATGTACCCACAGCGGGGTGATCAAATCCCTTTGTTTTTCAAGGCTGGCTAAGCTAACTTTGATGGCTGCTGCTTGAACACCAGCACACCGGTACAGCGAGAATTAGAGACCCCTAGTCCAACTATATTGTCGTAATACATGTACATAGGCGTTTAACACCAACCTCTCACTCTCTTTATTTTATTTATTGCTAGTTTACGAAATATGCTGTTATTAGTTCGTTTCTCCCTTTCTTTGTCCAGTACACACTGAGCAACATGATCCGTGAGTGTCAGCTTTACTCAGCTCAAGCCAGAGGAGGATTTCTTCACTGGGCCCCATTTGCGCAGTGCAGCCAGTGAAGTGAATTTGTTGTAAAGGGGTCAAACTAAGCAGATTACGTGAGTTCTTGATTTAAACCTGATGTACATATCAGGCCATGTTTAAAAATGATTCGGTATATGACAGCTGTCTGATTGCGCCATAGACGGCTCAAGCAACCCCCCCCCCCAAATTACTCCTCTTACACACGCATAGAGGCAACTCGCCTGTTTCTTTCCAAGGGTCGGCAGGGTGAGCGGCACCCCGGGCCTGTCATGGCATCAGGTTCTGTGGTGGTCTTGTGGCTGATTGACTGTTTCAGGGAATCAGGGTTGTTTTGGTTGTCTCCTTTCTGCAGGACCAGCATGGTGAACTCATCGGCCTTGTTCTAAACTCAGTGAACCCTCTGAGGGAACAAAAGCATCACAACATCTATTATGCAGGATTGTAAAGATACAGGCCAGGAAAATGTGGGCACAACTTGTGTGAGATTTTAACTTCATGTGTCGGAAGTTAAGGCCTGTTTATAACAAGAACCATAACTATCAAGATAACTATATTAGTGTCCACAATAACGTTTCGCTTATTACAAGCGCACACTGCAGTTATGCCATCTGCTGCTTTACATGCTCAAGCTCTTTAAAGTCGGGTGGATTCTGATTGGTTGTCAATGCTTTTATCATTCATCAGCTGGAAAAAATGTTCTGAAAATGATTCCAATGATATAGTTTCTGTGTTGTTGTGGTGTGGACTTATTCTCATATAATTGCAATGTTTGTTAAAATGTTATAATTATTTTCTTTGGTGCAAGCGGCCCATAAGAATACTTGAATGGTGTTTCTATGCAACGAAAACATGAATCAGTGCTATAACATTGAGATTAGGTTTGTTGTAAATGTGATTTAAATTGAGTCATTTATTAAGAGTCAGACTGCAGTGAAAGACTCTGTCTTGTCCTGCTGTGTCACAGAGTAGAGGAGCTTAGTAAGAATACCAGACGGTCTTCATGTGCTCATAATATCTATATGACTGGATTGCCCAACTGTCAGCTTGTGTTGGTCAACAAGGTGGTCCAGTGATTTTAGTTTTGCTCTCTTTTGTAAGAACACAAAAGTTCAGACAGAGCGTCTGAGACGAGATACACCGATAGGCCAATGTTCTTTGGCTTCAGACTCAGTTGGTTGATCTGATAACAAAAAGGCAAATTGCTTTTCACTTTGTCATATAAAATGGCTAATCAGTATCTTTGTCCTATTTTCCTGACAGAACTGAATAAAAATCCAGTGGAAGGTTTCTCAGCCGGTTTGATAGATGATAATGACCTCTACAGATGGGAAGTGCTAATAATCGGTCCTCCTGATACACTCTAGTAAGTCTTTTTGATGTCTTATTAAATGCCATGTCACGTAAGTACTTACTAAACTTACGTTTTTATGAGCCATCAGTTAAAGGATGAATTACAGGAGTAGTTCACTTCCAGGATGAAAATAATGTCATCATTTGCTCGCCCTCCACTTGTTCCAGATCTGTATGAGTTTCTTTCTTCTGGTGAACACAAAAGAAGATATTTTGAAAAATGTTGGTGTCCGAACAGTTGATGGGCACCATTGACTTCCATAGTAGGAAAAAAAAATACTATGGAAGTCAATGGTGTCCATCAACTGTTCGGATATTTTGACAAATGTTAGTATCTTTTGTGTTCAACGGAAAAAAGAAGTTCATTCAGGTTTGGAACAAGTGGAGGATGAGTAAATGATGACAGAATTTTAATTCTGGAAGTGAACTACTCCTTTAAAACAGAAATGGAAATTATCTGATCATTCACTCATGAAGTGTGAGTACAGTTATTCAAAATTTGTTACTTGGAAGAAAAGTCACATAGGTTAGCAACAACGTGAGTAAATAATGACAGAATTTATTTCACTTCACTTTAAAACAGGTTGCCCCATGGCAGATGACAGCCAGATTGTGGTTGATATGTTACAGTGGGTATAGAAAAGAATCACCCTCCTTTAAAACAATCACATTTTGTTGCTTTGCAGCCTGAAATGAAGACGGACACAGTTTTTGATTTATCCAGCTGTTTTTACTCAGTGCAACTTATAACATCCAAGTGAAAGAAATAACACCAACATGTCAGGAAGAAATAGAAAAACAGAATCACTGAGTTGGAAAAGGGATCGCCCTCTTGTGTCAGTATTTTGTTGAACCACCTTTTACTTTAATTACAGCCTTTAGTCTGTTGGGATATGTCTTTGTCTCGACTAACTTTGCACATCTAGACTTTGCAATATTTGCCCACTCTTCTCTGCAGAACTGCTCAAGTTCAGTTCAATTTGATGGTGAGAGTTTGTGGACTGCAGTCTTCAAGTCATTCCACAGATTTTCAATAGGGTTTAAGTCTGGGCTCTGACTAGGCCATGCAAGGACATTCATCTTTTTCTCTTCAACCACTGTGTGGTCAGTTTTGCTGTGTGCTTTGGGTCATTGTCATGTTGGAAGATAAACCTTCTTCTCTTTGACAACCTTCTGGCAGAAGGCAGCAGATTTTCCTTAAGAATTTGACGGTATTTTGCCCCATCCATTTTTCCTTCTATCCTGACAAGTGCTTCAGTCCCTGCTGCAGAGAAAACCCCAATAACAGGATATCACCGCCTCCATGCTTTACTGTAGGAATGCTGTTATGGATGGTGAGCTGTAGTGGATTTCCGCCAGCAGTGTTTCCCACAAGACTTTCCTTGGATGGGCCACCCAGGCATATTAACAGCCGCCCAAGTATATTTGGAGAAAGATTTTTGCTTTTATTAATTTTACCCTGTTATACTTTTTTTTTTTTTTTATCCGCCCAAAATGTTAATACTAAAAGTGTGGGTGCTTTTGCGACCAAAAAAAAAGATGTGTGCGAATAAAGCTAAATGTTCTTAAATTTAATATCATAAAAAGTCTTCAATATATGAAATGGTAAAACAAACGTCTTGATCATTTTAAGACGTCTTATATTTTGGGGATGGAAAAACATAAATCACGGTACAGTCTATTGATTATTAAACTTCGAAATGCTAGGATTTCATTAAAAAAAAAAAGAGCACTGCACGTTGCAGTTTCACAAGGCGGTGCTGTTGCGCAGCTTCAAACTGCTTCAAAGTGATTCTCAATCCGTGAATAGCGCACATTTATGCCAAGCGATTGCTTATGAACTCGAGTTAAATTATGACCAGTGGTGGAAAGAGTACTGAAAAAATATACTCAAGTAAAAGTACCATTACCTTCCAAAAAATGTAGTGTGAGTAGAGTAAAAGTACTTGTCCAAAAAACTACTTGAGTAAGAGTAAAAGAGTAGCCTATTTAAAAGTACTCATGAGTATTGAGTAGTGAGTACTGAGCTGTGGATTCTACCCCCTCATAATTACGCTGTACACTGCCATTGATACCTTTTATAAACGTTGTACATTCTGTAATTCACATTATCTTGTTTGTCATAAAGAATGAAGAATATCTATCATCCAGCAGTTTTAATTTTGATTGCCAACTCTTTAAAATACATCAAAACAGCAAGGAAACAGTATTCAGTCGAAGAAAAGATTAAAGTTATTCTCAGTACAATCATCCCCATTTAAATCATAAAGTTTGAAAAAATTTATTTAAAATCATGTGTAAGGCCACGGAGACCGCATGCTGTTGTTGCACATAAAATATTAACATTTAGAACAGTGCAAATACAAACACCATTAGAAACTCATAGTTCAGCATCTTTTTCAAAGGAAAACACACACACGCATCTCTCTTTGCTGAGCCGCGGCGGTCTCGGTGAATCGGCAGCATCCACAACTGAATGGACCAAAATGTTTTGAACTTGAAAATTGTTTATGCGCGAGTGCACTTGCTAAATGAAGGCAGGTTGTCTAAAATGAATTTTTAAAAAAAGTAAAAAAAAAAAAAAAGGTTTATTAACGAGCTGCAGTTTTATTACATCACGCACTGGCACAGATGCAGTAGCCTATATTAACGCAACTGGTCATCAATAAGGTGCAGATTGGTCCTCAATTTGTGTTTCCAACATACTTTTTCACAGCACGAATCACGCGCTCAAACTCATCAAAGTTCAATAAGCAACAACGACGACTTATCCAAGTGACTGCTGCAGAACGCACGCGAGAGAGAGACGAGGCAGCGCAGATCGCGAGTTTCATAAGTGAGTGGGAATTTACAGAACGTGGCTCTTGCGGGAGTTAACACTGTATGCAATACCCGCAACCTCACGCCAAATTTCAGGCTGTGTAGATAGGCAAGCATATATACAAATCATTTAGTAAGCAGAAATCCGAAATTTACCTTAACATATTAAGTTAGAGGAAGATGCGACTGAATTGATGCTTGAAGAAAGCACTTCCAGCAGCCATGATAAACAGTTGGCGGGAGACCTATTACTATCTCTCTCTCTCTATCGAATCACGTTGATTGATAAAAATAAAATTAAAATAAGCATGTAACGACCACAAACGGAGGAAAATAGCGGAGTAAAAGTACCGATACATCACTTAAAATGTACTCAAGTAAAAGTACACATTTTTTAAACTACTCAAAGTACAATTACTGATAAAAACTACTTAATTACTGTAACGTGAGTATTTGTAATTCGTTACTTCACACCCCTGATTATGACAATATCTACTTAATGACCTTTATAAAACACGATTTAGATGGATGTAAGAATGCATGTTTTATCTCTCATCTGAAGGATAAAATATAGTATAGACATTTCAAAATAAGAATCCCATTGTATTTCAGGCTTGTTTATAATTAAAAGTAATGCTTTATTTTTCTGGGCATTATTGGTATTTTGGTTACACAATAAGTAAAAGATAATGTACATCCAGCCGGTTGTTATCTCCGAATAAACCCCGACGCTGAGGGGTCTTGTATCAGCCTGAAGGGGTTTATTCTGAGATAACAACCGGCTGGATGTACGTTATCCCGCTTATTACACGGCTACTTGCCACATAAGTAAATAATTAGACGCAAAATATTGATTTGAGTTGAAATATTTGAACGCAAAGCTTCCGCGAAGACAGCAGTTTCAAGCAAGCGGCAAATTCAAACTAGACTGACATTTAAGGGAAACGGTGCAGTCAAACCACTTATTACACAACATTTCACCACAAAAATAATTAAGGCAATAAAAGAATTAAGACGAAAATGTTTTAAAACCTTACCAGTTTGTTAGTTCTCTTATAATCCATTACAGCGTACAAAACAATCGTAGCAAAATGGCAGCAGCTGCGTTTGTATGAAACGAGAGCGAGTCAGCGATACCAGGATGACATAATTAAATAATTGTACACCATTATGAATCAAGTTTTAATATTTTATTAGCTAAACAAACGCAAAGCTTCCACCAAGAAAAAATAGTTCAAGCAGGAGTACAGTGCTGACTGCTGTTACCCGGATGAGCCTGTGTTATTAGCTTTTACCGGTTGTTATCGAGGAATAGCATACCTTGGAATGTTGCGACTGACCAATCAGAATCAAGTATTCCACAGAGCCGTGTAATAAATTGTATTTAATATAATTTCCATTTAATTCATAGTAAACTATTGTAGTTTCTGGCTGGAATGCTTGCCCACAGGAAGAAAAGTCAAAGAACATTATTTGACACGTTCAGTATATCGATTTTACTAGTATCAGTAAAATCTGTGTCCCATTCACTGAGAGAGACACTATATGACAAAGCAAGGAGAACGCTACCATTTAAATGCTGTAATTTTGCATAATTACAGTGGATAATGACGCATAGTACGAGTATGTAATAATTCAATGTAATAGTAGCCCATGTAATTGAAATGAATTTCAATAAATAAAAAATATTGGGTTACACTTTATTTTAAGGTGTCCTTGTTACGGTGTAATTATACATTTAAGTACTGAGTAATATTAATTAACTACATGTACTTACTATATGGTTAGAGTTATGGTTACTTGCATGTAATTATGCATAATTAATTATTATAATAGTAAGTACATGTAACGTGTAACAAGGACACCTTAAAATAAAGTGTTACCAAATATTGTTAAAAATCACACATTATTTGTTATTTGTCACATGTAGTAGAGCTTTTTTGTGCCGTGGGTAATAGGATTTTCCACCTGACTACCACCGCAAGTATATTTCAAACCTGTAAGAAGCACTGCACCTGACATGTTGTTTGGTGTTGAGGCCAAATAATAAAATTTTAGTCTCATCTGCCTCAGAATCTTCAAGGTGTGTTTTGACAAAGCTTGAGTGGGTGGAAGCCTCTAAGGAGTGGGTTTTTTCTTGCAACCTTCCCATACAAGCCACATTTGTGAAGAATTTATGATATTGTTGTCACATGCACACGAAAGACCACTCTTTGTCATAAATTACTGCAACTGCTTCAGAGTTGCTGTAGGCCTCTTGGTGGCCTGTCTGACCAGTTTCCTCCTGCTCTTTCATCCAGTTAGGAGCGACGTCCTGATCCAGGGAGGGTCTGTGTTGTAGGGCTGGGCGATATGATGCATTTATTGTGATTTCAAAAGATTCAACTGCAAGAAGACTAAATAGAACTCACTTCTGCACTCCCGCACTGTTTTCTGTGCTGCACACACACACACACACACTCAAAGCGCATGTACAAAAGCCGCCTCTTATATACGCAAACACTGGACTGAGCTCTCTTTCTCGTGTTCTTACACATTCGAATGGACAAATACACACAGAATTATATCAAAATATCCCATAAATACAATCAGTTATGTTTAAGTGAACGTAAAGAGTTGAGAAAGAAAACTAGGGTGTATTAAATCCATGCATTGAGAGCAGCCGCTGCCGCCAGTCATTATAATGTTAATCAAAGAACAAAAGAAAAGAAAATCCCTCACTGATCTTGACTGAATCACTTTTGTAACCTCAGTTTATATTTTATTTGTCTGTTGTTCAGTGCTGACTACTGTAATGGCAACGTGCATCTGTGTATGTGATTATTTTTGGAGATGTGTTCCAATATAATTTATCCTTATTTAGGGTATAGGCCTATTCTATTTTGAGCTGCAGTTTAATAAACGTTAAACAGAAAAAAGACAAAGTAGCACTGCGTGTGTTTCTGAATATTTATTTAAACAGACTGTATAATGATGAAAAACCACAAACATGACAGGTATAATTAAAATACGCAAATTATTTCAGTGCAATATTTTTACAGATTTTGTAAACCGTGTATACAATATAATTGTTTAATTAAGCTGAGATATAGCACTATAAATTCTTAATTCATTTGCAACAAAACTATAAAGTTTTGTTGCAAACGGATGAAGACATTAGACTTCTCAACTCACCCCTCAACATGCATGTGTTTGGAGTTTCGGCAGCCCAACACTGAATATTGTATTGTGGGCATTGTTTTTTGATTACTAAAATAAAAATGATAAATTTCAATATAAAAATGAAATTTAAATTACCCTGCTTCTAATTAAATAAAGCAGTTATTTTTATTTTGTTAAAAACGGGCCGAAAGAGCACTCCGAACTAGTAGGCTACCAGAAAGTGGGGAAAAAAACCTTAACGTTTTTGCTCGGAATTCATTTTTAATCCCTGCATGATTTTAGTCATACATGATAAATATCAAATAAGTTATAGCTTGACTACAAGTTTAAAAACAACGCTGCAATTGTTATAATTAAGGAAATTAAACTTACCATCATGAAATGTGTCTACACGGGCAATAATGCCAAAAAGAAAGAGAAACATCAGAAAATATGCATATTTTATTCAAGACATTATTATATGACATTAACATGCATTTATCATTCTTACAGTCACCGCCCAGAATGTCCAACTTCACCACGATGAACTTAAAACAGTTCTCCTCACAAAACGAAATTCATTTCAAACACAAATTTGATACAGCGTGGAAATTATTAGCAACACCAAAATAACAGCAACACTAATGTTTTCTGTTAGCTTAAAGGGGTCATATGATGCTGCTAAAAAGAACATTATTTGGTGTAATGAAATGTTTATGCGGTTTAAGGTTCAAGAAACACATTATTTTCCACATACTGTACATTATTGTTTCTCCTCTATCCCCCGCCTTACTGAAACATGTCGATTTTTACAAAGCTCATCGGTCTGAAAAAGTGAGGTGTGCTCTGATTGGCCAGCTATCCAGTGCGTTGTGATTGGCCGAATTCCTCAAGCGTGTGACAGAAATGTTACGTCCCTTACCATATTGTGATGCCTGTGGCAACAAATTGTTCGTCCACGGTGAAAGCCGATCCGGCGATCCACAGCGTGAAGTTGAAGTATTTCCTCAGCGACCAGCATGGATCAGCTCTAGGCATGACGAAGCAATATCATCCTCTTTTGGAAGACCAAACAAAGTAGTTTCGCTTTCACAACGATACACACAGCGCCTTCACAACATGGCGGCGGCAACAACAATACTACAGCGAGAATAAAAGTTACGCCTTCTTTCTTTGCGTGAAGATTTGGGCGGCGTTATGCAAATCTTCCCAGATAGTGACGTTGGTGTGTGGGGGTGTGTTAGAACGAGACGTTTTAGGGGGGTGTGGCTGACTCTTAACTTTTATAAAGAATATCTCTTTGGATTTGAGACTTTAGTCTTTGCAACTTTACAGATCGTCTTTATGGACCAAGAGCTTGTAACACTCCAAAGAGAAAGGAAAAATTGAAATCGCATCATATGACCCCTTTAAGCACAAACTAAGAAAAGTAAAACCAAACTTTGTCACAATAATTAAGACCAAACTGAAAAATGGTGTGTGTTTATGGTGCATGTCTGCAGTGTTGTCTCGGTGGGGGCGGGGCGTGGTGGAGGTGGGGTTTAAGTAGACGATATTATCGGATATCGCAATATTTTTAAAGGCGATTATCGATACGATATTTTTGACATATCGTCCAGCCCTACTGTGTTGTACCAAATACCTTCCACTTAATAATAGACTTCACTGTGCTTCTAGACATTGATAAAGCCTTTTTGATTTTTTTTTTTTTTGTATCCATCTCCTGACTTGTGAGTGTCCACAACTTTATCCCGGAGATCTTTTGACAGCTTTGCCATCCATAGTTGATTGTTTGCTTTAGTTGCACTACCAAGGACTGAAATGCTCCAGGAAAGCTCTTTTCATGCTGAGCTAATCAAAATGACCACAGCTGAAAGTCAAATGACTTTGTGTGCCATTGAGATGGTGATTAGCTACAACTGGTTGAGTTTACAAGTCATTTTTAGGAGGGGGTGATCCTTTTTCCAACTCAGTGATTTTTTTTTTTTTTTTTTTTTTTTCCTGACATGTTGGTGTTACATCTTTCACTTGGATGTTATAAGTTGCACTGGGTAAATACATGACACTTTTCATAACACTGAATAAAACAAAAACTGTGTCCGTCTTCATTTCAGGCTGCAAAGCAAAAAAAAAAGTGATTATTTTAAATGGGTATGATTCTTTTCTATATCCTCTGTATATGCAAAACATTTTAATACATTGTGTCGATAGAATGTACCACCACAATATTGCTGCTGAATAACACTTTAAACCTGCTATGTTTTTTCTGTTTATAGTGAAGGTGGTGTCTTTAAAGCCCATCTTACGTTTCCCAAAGACTATCCTCTCAGGCCTCCTAAAATGAAGTTCATAACAGAAATATGGCATCCAAATGGTAAGTATGGGTTCATCCCACTGGGTCTTTTACATTTTTTTTCATATCAGTATTCATCAACCATGTTTGTAAAAAAAGACTTTGTTGAAGCTTTTTTGTTTAGTTTTTTTTGTTTGTAGATTTCCACAGAATTTAAACATCCATGATTCTAAGCTGTGCTCAGTAATTTTTCTGGAATTGATAATGCCGCTCTCTTGAACTTACACCAACACCTAGCATTGTGAATTCAGCTTATGTGATAGTTAGCCATTTATAGTGGTAATTTAATAATGCTTTCAGCCACCATATTTATGATTTATGGTGGTCTATTAAATTAAATGCAACAGAAAAGGTGGTTAACTGTAAGGCTCTGAGATAACTGACATCATGTCTTCACTCTGTATTGTTTGCAGTTGACAAGAATGGTGATGTTTGTATTTCGATATTGCACGAACCGGGGGAGGATAAATATGGCTATGAGAAACCAGAAGAGCGCTGGCTCCCTATCCACACTGTAGAGACCATTATGATTAGCGTCATCTCTATGCTAGCTGACCCCAATGGAGATTCCCCTGCAAACGTTGATGCAGCAGTAAGTCTGATTCTCACTTATTGAGCCTACTGAACTTGACTGACTATAGATGTTTTATCAATAGATATTTAATGAATAAGATATGCTTCATAGTCCATCGTGTGCATGCACTTTTCAATGTAGTCATAAATTAGATAAATTGCATTTAATCTGAAAACCTTTATTTTTTTTACCTGTATTCATTTATTTTTATCTATTTAATATTTCAGAAAGAGTGGAGGGAAGACAGACATGGTGAATTCAAAAGAAAAGTTGCCCGCTGTGTAAGAAAGAGCCAAGAGACTGCCTTTGAGTGATATTCATCTAGCAGCTTGTAGCTTCACTATTTTCAGGGTAAGCAAGTGGACTTTTACCAATTCACTTAACTGCTAAAGTCTTGTGACCATCTTTTCACCCAACTTGATTGACAACTCCCAAGCACAGAGCCAGAAAATGCAAAGAACTGTTATTGCAGGTTTTAAAGCTACCCCTTAGTTGAATGGGGTTTTATCCTCGAGAAAGGCAGCAGTAGTCCACGTTCAGACTGGATGTGGGTAGAACTAGAGTAGATCTACTGGCTTTTTATTAGCATGTTAACTTACACTTTCAGGGCTCCAGACTAATTCTTCCCACTGGTCGCGCTTTTGCGACTAACTTTCTCAGTTGGTCGCACGAGCACATGATTTGGTCGCAGTATTTTTTATTTATTTATTTATTTTGCGCTACATCATGGGATTAATCAATGCATGCTGATTAACTTTTATCATAGTTTATAGTTATGGAAACGAAAGTGATTAACATGCAACACGTTCTTTTTCATCAGTAGTATTATTTGTGATTTGATTTTTGTGAACGGGAGTTCCTCTTTTGCTGTGTTATAAGCCGGGCTTGGGGTGCTTTCACTTTTTGAATTCGCAATCTTGTTGTCATGTTTTAACAAGAAAAGATCTACACACTAGGGGAACGACTTCTGATTTTTTGAAGTCGACTTTTATGTGATGAAAGTCGAGTCGAAGTCGACTAGTCGCTGATGACGTCATTAATGAACAAATAAGTCTGGAGCTGTGACAAACACCTTGTGCACAGCTATGGCATATGACACAGCGCTGCCCACACGGCTGTTGCTCCTATAACAGCTTTTTTCTTATCAGTTCTTTTGTCTTTGGGTCGTTATATTTCACAGAGATTTCTGCTCATTCTAAATCAGATACAGATAAAGTAGCACAGTAAAGATTACATTCATATGAATGCATTAGTGAGAGAGCGATTGCGTGTGTGAATTAATTATACCTGGCAGCGTCTCTCTACTAGTAGTGAAGCTGTGGGATTTAGTTAAGAAATATATGCTTGAACTTTTCAGTTTCTAAGCTATTTTACTGAGAAATCACAGAACAGTGTTGACAATACATTTCCGCGCTGAATGATTCTGTGCGCGTGATGTACGCGCTACTGTCTGTAGCCTATGTGTGTGCGTTACAGTGCAGCAGCGCATTAGATTAGAACAGTGATTAACTTACCTGTACAATAAGCTGTTTAAAACGTGCATTCTCCCATTCAATTTCGAGCATCCAGTAATATAATCACACATGTCTTGTGGAGCGCTTTCAGAGTATGCATTTATTTGTCATTTGAACTGTTTGGAAACGGAGCGTAAATGTGGAAGTCCTTCAAAGATTTCTAATCCTGTTGCGCCCTCTATAGGACCAGCGACTAGTCGACATCAAGCTTAAAGCGTCATGGCAGAGCATTGAAGTCGATTAGTCGGTGCAACCCCTACTACACACCTACACACTCAAGATGAATTCATTGTTCTTCTTAATTAAAAAGCACAACAACAATAAAACGGTAAGATACAATGACAAACTAGCTTACAAAATGATTATTAACAAAAATGAATAAGATGAGGCATGGCACACACCACATGCTGTATTATATACCGACTAATAAATTACAGTATGTTTAACAAACACTGAGGAATCAAATAAAATAAAAGCGAGCCTCCATAGTGGAACGTGAGGTAAACGGCAAAGATAACAAGCTTTTCAAAATGAAAACAAAAAGAAAAGTAAAACTAAACTTGTTGTCGGTGACAGTGCTTGCATGTTTTTTTCCCCACAAGAATACCAACATGTTCACCTTCTCTGGTTTAAGAAGCAGTCTTTTACTTTACTTTAGCATGAAACCCATCCATCGTTTCCTCAATATTCGCATCATTTTTGCTGCGCGCACCTTCGCGCTCGTGCTCACGCGGCGAGTATAAACCAGGCTCTACTACACTCAAGCGCTGTGCAGTTCCAACTAGTAGTGCGGTTTCGTTATGCTTTCAGTTACGTTTGCCATTTGATGTTTCGCATAAAAACAGAGACTGACTGGATACGCCGTTAACAAAATCGCCTGTGCATTCATTTTAAATATAATTTTATTAAAATTTTGCAGTCACACCAGTGCAACCTCTAAAAAAAAAAAATTAGTCGCACCAGCAGGAAAAATGGTCACAGTCTGGAGCCCTGCTGCTTTTTACCAGGTTTTTTTTTTCATGTAGTTTTTTTAAAGGGGTCCCATTATGCTCTTTTACAAAGTCTTGATTTTGTTTTGGTGGTGTACTAGAACATGCTCTCATGCTTGGTGGTTCGAAAAACGCATTATTTTTCACATAATTTACATTATTACAATACCTTTCTCCCCAGGCTGGCACAAACGGCTCGATTAGTTCCGGCTTTGATGAAGGTCCACCTTCCGAAAAACAAAATGTGTTGTGATTGGTTAGCTGTCCCAGTGTGTTGTGATTGGCGAACAGCTTAGACGGTGTTTCAGTACTGCCACGCCCCCTTGCTCCGTCTGTCAACAAAAGCTTTTGGGAATCCGGCACTTCTGACTCGTGATGTTGAAGCTGTCCTCAGTAAAATGCGCAGCACACAATAGCAAATTGGGGTTATAATGCTCAGGATAAATTGCATAAATTGCAACCACTGTTTCCTGATATCATCCGCTTTCAGAAGCCCAAACAAAGACGTTTGGGCACGGAGGTGAAAAAAACAGCATTTCAGGCGGTCGCACACCGGACAAGAAGCGCAGCGTCGCCGTTTGGCGTCTGTCCACGGCGCCCAGCTACGTCGTGTTATATTGGTAAGAATTGTTCTAGACCAGCGGTTCTCAATCCCAGACCTCGCGTACCCCCGCTCTGCATGTTTTGCACGTCTCTCTTTGTTAACGCACCTGATTCAGATCATCTTGTTAGAAGTGAGCTCCGTGCATGAACTGTGTTC